GGCTAGGCGCTTCTGCTTTGCAGTCAGTGAGTCGGGATCCTCGTCGTCACTGTCAATCATCTCCTCATACAGCCACAACTCACGTAGGTGACGCTTGAAGGGCGCCATGACACCCACGTCCAAGGGCTGGCACACAGACGTCGCATTCGGTGGCATGGCACACAGGTGAGATCCCAGCTCTTCTTGCACAATCTTGGTCGACTCCTCCGACACATGGGCCATAAAGTTGTCGACTAGGATGACGGAGCACTCTTCAATGTCGTCGTGCAGCACCGACCGCAAGAAGTGCTTCCACACCCGTGCGTCCATCCAGGCTTTCTCCTGGACGGCATAGAAGTGTCCTTCGGGGATGGTAGGCACCTCGTTTGTTTCGATGCGTCCGCCGGGCTGTCCCTTCATGATGAACATGATAGGCAGCTTGGTACCGTCCGCACGCGCTGTGAGCACCTCCGTCATTCGCATCGAGTGCTTCTCTCCCGCGGAGATCTTGGAGCTGCAGCCACGCACGGCCCAGATGTAGTGGGGAGGCATATCGTAATAGAAACCCGTTTCGTCAACGTTGTACGTGCACTCCTTGCTGTGGGCGCTGTACGACCGGTGGAACTCCAGCGCAAACTCGTCGCACAGCTCAGACAGGTCTCCCTGTGTCTTCTTGCACTTCGCTGGGCGTTGTCGGGAGAATCCGCGGCGTCGACAAAACCGGCGGAGAAGTTGGAGAAGGGACTTGTATCCGGACCCTGCGGCTTTGGTGGACAGGTAGTCCAGCAGCCACGTTCGTTGGTTTCGTTTGATCCAGTTGATCATGTGCATTGTCGTCAGCGCACGCTCAGCGTCACGCAAGTCGTTAATGTATTGGACTAGGCCTGGCGGGTCCGGGAACTGTTCGGGTCGGCCTCCTGGACGCACCTTAAGGCGCTTCTTGTTGCCTTTGTAGGTTAGGAGCTCGTTGCGCTGCTTTTGCTAGTTGCGGTGAGTCCTGCGAGCGACGTTAAGGAGCACAGCTACCTTGTAGTCGGACAAGGTCTCAAGGAGTTTCAAAGCTTCGAGCTTGAACGCAATGGGGTACGTGATGCGTGTCATTTTGATTGCCCCGCAATTGGGGTCAGTATTTTTTGAATTGCAAGTTTGGCGGGAGATTAAAAATTTGACCAATCACAGCATCGTATCACAAGAAATTATTTGATTGGGTATAACTACCGTGCAACTTCGATAGGGCATAAGTTCCGTAGATCCCTGTAGTGAGGGAAATCAGTATTTATATATAAATGCATATCATTTGTTCGAATTCATATTATCTATTTATATAATTATTGGCATGCATATTTATTCGAATTCATATCATATTTCATGTATATATATTTGATATCAGAAGTTTGGACGCTGTTATAATCATTGACAAGCTATTTTTAGATTGGCGGTGTTAAATCCGTCGTTGAAATTGACGAAACGTCGCCCAAGAAAAAATCCAAGTACAACCGTGGTACGCGCCACCCAGAGTGTTGGTTGTTTGGCGGCATTGATCGAGCGACCACGAAGTGGTATGGCGTGCTAACATATGAAGACCGCACGAAGCCGGTGTTGTCTGCGCTCATTGGAAAACACATACGACCTTGATCATGTCTGACAAGTTCGGGTCGTATGTGTCCACCAATGAGCGCCACACCTTGGCAAACAATCCGGCTTTGGCGGGCATGGATTACTCGCATCAGTGGGTGAACCACACTGAAAACTTCGTGAACCCAGCGAAAGGAGCCCACACACAAGGTATTGAAGGTGTGTGGGAGGTGCGTGTGAAGCAGTTCACGAAGATTATGCGTGGTGTCCATTGTGAACACTTTCCTAGCTACCTCGACGAGTTCCTTTGGCGGTCATGGTTTTTCCCCCGTGGCACGCGTGGTAATATGTTTTTCAAAGGACTTGTAATTGCGATTGTTTGATCGTACTAATTTAGAGGACAAAGAATAAAGAACATTGATTTTTTGTTTTAAATTCGACCGGGGGTAAAACTGAAAGAGTGCCCAGTTGTCTGCCACCAGGAACGACACATCGGCAGTTGTGTGCTCGTAGACACTCAGACATATCGACACTTTTGTGCTTGCAGATGCCCAGAACGACGTCAAGGTACTCCATGTGACGTGTAGCACCGAGGTAAGTTACGTCGCGAGGAGATGATTCGTCCCTCTCGTCGTTGGTCAGAACCAACGGTGCCATGGAAAGAACAACATGCTGCAGTTGGACTTGGCGCATGTACAGTGCGAACACTGCGACGTAATGAGCATCTTACTGTGTCCATACGTCAAAGATCAACTCAAACTTCACCGGCAGTTCCAGTGAAATGGCATCTTCGACTTTGACGGCAACTGCATGCATGCATAGCTTGAGCGACTTACTCGAAGGGCCTGTGAAGTTGATGTTCAAATTGGCTCTGTGGTTTCGAAGAACTTACATGGCAGATTGTCCTGGGTGACCCAATCCATGACCCTGTACATTTCTTGGCTCTTCGCGGTGTTTATACAGGCGTCGTCAGTCAACACACCCTTGTTCTTCGGCTGAACCATAGCTTCATGCCAGTTTGCATGGGTTTTTAGTAAAATGTTGGTTGGCCCAGCTGTCTTTTGTACACGGACCGTCGAGCTGCAGACACAGCAAACAAAATATTTGTTGGAAACGCCATCTTTTTCGGAAGCGCGATCCGGCTCGAAGAAGCACGACCGGGTGTCTTTGGAAGACAAGACTGTCAATTTGGCCGCTTGGACGATTAGTGTCTGTCGGAGTTATTTAGCACATCCTACTATTCATTTTCAAACCAACGATGGTACGTCGCAAAGTCATTTTCCATGTTACATTTACAGTAGCTGATGTGCCGGTAGGAAGAGAAGTTGCGGTTTGTACTATTCGTGGAGCCTCCACTGCGGGTATCCGTGCTACTTTCATTTCCTTCCAATATGGATCGGATGGCAATATATATCCAATATCGTAAAAGTACTCCGATAAATATTGCCACCATGAAACTAATATCCATGTGATATTGCACCTCTGCGTTTGATACGATACTAAGTAAGTACTTCGGGCCTCTTCCAAGTAAATTTTCAATGTGATGTACAATCCGTATCGTTTCCGACTTTGCTAAAAATGCAAGTACGATGGCGAGTCGTACTTTGGTCGCATTTGGGTATTCCATGTATGTCATTGGTGTTACAGCCAAACTACGAATCATGAACGCCGGGCAAATTAATGCGATTGCTGCCGCGCTAGCTGCGGTCCAAGTGGTAGTCAAGCGTTTATCACCCAATCCACCCCAAACGAAGTTTGTAGTAGTGTACATGGTCCTGTGCACTAATGACACATGGCAACGAGTATGCTCGTCCACCGAGTACGATGGCTGATACAGTACTGCCGTAACCTGAGCCAAGCAACGTTTGTCAGCATTGTGTCCCCCGTGACGAGTCTTTGGCTGAATGCCAACCGCCGGTTACATCACAACACCGTATTTGGTATTATGGACCGCGTCGCAGTCACTATGAGGATTACACTTCAGCCCACGGTTGTGTCGGGGGTGGCGATACAGGCACCCCCGATCGCTGAGCCGAAGTGCAATCTTCTCCAAGGACATTGAAAGCTACTGGTTGCTTTTGGAGCTACCGAATGGGGCCGCGAAAGTGCACTTGCACCATATGTACGCTCCACATGAGCTTCTTGTCTTGAGGGTCTTCGTCTTATGTGCTCAGAGAACCAAGATCACCGAATGTGTTCGCGGCTTCCAGTCGGACAAGACGCTAGGTCAACTCCTTTTTCGTGGGCGTTGAGGCCTTCATTCGGGCTGCCATCGAAAATGAATTACTATGTGTGCACCAGTGAAAGTGGAGTGCGATAGGCCAATATTGACCAATCGCTATGGTTACGCAACGGAATATCGCCGACAAATGCGACTACCGGTAGATAGTGACGACGAAATTGGCACTAGCCAATCACGTTAGAGTGAAATTCATGGTCAAACCACGACAAATCGATGATCAAACAACGACAATTTTACTTGATACTTCTAACGTGCTTTGGGTTTCAAGCCCCTTACTGGTATATCGGTATCTATGTTAAGTTCCGATAAACGATACTGGTATATATTATTCCAAAAAAGACGTACGATACGATGTCAAAAAGAATGAAGAAGATATATTTGCGATGATGCTGAGATCCCAGCGATCAATTCTTCGTCCCATGTCAATGTAGAAAAAAAGTTGTTTTAATAGTGGCCCAACGGGGTGTGCGCAGGACCAGATGGACGTCGTCATCGCGCATGGACCTTGCTACGATACACCTTGACGCCGCGATTGGGAGCTTGGAAGCGAAGACGGACGTCAGTAGCGGTCACCAACTTTGTCGACATACAGTATCAAAGTGGTACCGTTGCAACGACAACGTTAAACTGCGTTAAAGAATATTGCGTGAGTATGCTGCTGCTGTCATAAAATGATCAAATTCATAATGGAGGCAAATACCCGACATGCTTTGCTACTCAGATGTACTGTGGAACAACACCATTTGTAAACAACGACGACTACAGTACTACAATAACGTTAACAGTTACTACTGTAGGGGTCAGTCTGGATCAGGCATGGCAAAAATGGCTCGAAATACATCAATTTTCATCCATTTTCAATGCAGTTGGTTAATAAAAGCTGCAAATCGATTCTAATAAAGTTACTCAAGGAGTAAATCATTCCTTTGAAGTGTCGTTAACATAGATTTATCTTGATGCAAATCGGTTCTAATGTATACCAAATGATAAATATATTGTGCTTTTCACTCGTTTTGGCTATTCACACAATAAACCTGGGTATTTGTTACATCGACCCCAGTGTTTTAGATAATTCGTGCAGTGATTTAGGATCACGTTTCGTTACAGAATGTAATTATAGGGAGGTCATTTATGCAAACTCACTCGCTTTTGCACATTTGAAAAGTGCAAATCGAAGTTATATCTGCTATTCTCGGGCCAAATTGCACAATTCACTGGTCATCACGAACAAATTTTGATATTACAAATGTCACAGCGAGGACATGCGCCGGAGTTCTACTGTACATATGGTGCCACCTCATAGAAATCCACGCCTTCTTCTTGTTCCATCGCGCAGTACATGCAGGTAGGTATTATGTACTACGCGATGGAATAACAGCCAAAGTGTTTTGATCACTTCAGCATCACATGTGATTATTATTGCTCAGAGTTTTTTGGCATTTATAAAACCCCAGTGAATTAGCTAAAACACCAGGTATTTACTCAATCTTGTAACACAGTTACAGCAGATGTACCACTCTTTTAGCCACGTAAAACCGACGCCAAAACAAGTGCAAAGCACAAAAATAGCTCCAAAATGATTAGTGTTAACAGTAAACTAAACTCTTCTAATTGGATAAAAAGGTCCATTTCCTTAAACGAAATGAATCAAAACATTATGTTATGGAGTTTAACGCATAGATTTTATTCATGACCGTTTCTCTATTGGTCGCCTGGCTTCAAATGTATCGTTTCCTGGAGAACATGGTGAAAACTTCAAAGAAAAACTTCAAAGAACATGGTTTTGATTGGCCATTATTATGAGGTTAGGTCTACGGTACAGTATTCATCGCCTGTCCACTGACAACAACAATCATTTCATGACGTCTACCCTTGCTGTGTCGTGCACATGCAGCAAGCTGCTGTCAAATGAAGACGCCATGATCCGTGGGTCTTGTGGCATAAGTAATTCGGTTGACACCGTGATGACGCAACGGAAACCTTTATAATGCACAATGCGTACATGATTGCAGATTCCACTTCCTGGTACTTCCTCTGTTCCACGGTACAACCGACATTTCCAGTTCCTGCGACCCCAAAAAGTTATTTTCGGACCAAATTTAATGAATCCTACCATGTCTGAAAGAGAATAAAAATTTAAAGGTAATATCTATTGGCTGCAATGCACAAAACAACCAATTTCGTGCTGTAAATTTGAATCGTCATCACGAATCAGAAAAAAATACAAAATAATCGAGTTATTTAAATTATTCTGGGGCCTTGGTGTAGAACCTTACAACGTGAGCTACTTCACACACTAACATTTCGTGTGCTACATAGGGGGCTGCCTTGGAGACTGTGTTGGGGACTACGTTGTGAGATGCTCTGAGGGCTGTACCCAGGACCGCATATTGCGGACTACAATGCGGGTTGATGTCGGGGCTACGCTGGGGCTACGTTGGGGCCTGCGTTGGGGGTTGTCCTGGCTGTTGCATTGACCACTTTCATGGGGGCTTTGATGGCTGTATGGCCAGCTGTGCGGGGTGGTATTGAGTGTGTTGAGAATTGTGTGGGTATTTCTTTGCTGCACAACAACGGCGTCGTCACGTCTTGAGACGAGTTTTCGTGGCGTCGGACGTGCTGCGATTTAGCTTTCCATTGAATTTAATTACTATATACATTTTCAATTTGTGTTGCGTACGAGGTAGCGCCATTGGTGATGAAGTGTACGATGGGTCTGTTAGCCATGACTCGTGTCTAGAGATTGTTCTGAACGCACATGGCATACGTGTCGATGTACCTTGTACCTGAGACGTAGCATGTAGTGTAGTCAGTGGGGGGTCGCGCTTGTAGGACTCTTTTGCCGTGTAAAACATGAGGCTATATTCGATGACATAGATACCTTGTCATCCATACCGAACCATCGCCCACTTGGTGCCAGTACGTACGCAATGTAGTGACCCGACGTCAGTGAACTTCCCAGATGAAGGACAACTCCTCGAAACTGGTACACAATATCTTATGCAAGTATTTTAGTAATCTATCGATCGTGGTGGTTTAAACTGTACCGCGTGATCAACTATGCAAACTCACTCATGTTCAGCTCCAATGTGTATTGGATGGGCTGGCCATTCTTTTTCATGGTGCCTTTTTCAGCGACCGTGAAGCGTAGGACACGCAGCACTAATACATGGGACCACTCTGCAATGGCACTTGTATGCACAGCTGGGCATCGGCGATTGCAATAAGTCTTTAAACCAGCAAACTTGTATTACACTATATACCAGCGATATTTCGAATTGATTTGAATCCCTTCCACAGTATCACTTGAATTTAGAATTTGCTGTAACCTTGCGAAGGTGTTTACTTATTTGCAAAATACACAATTGCTACCAACAAGAGTAAAGTATTCGGAAATAATCATGGTACTAATCAAGTAGTCGATCATTACGAGCATACATGAACACTGAAAATACTTCAGCCACGGTATGGCGAGAAACGAGCGCGATTGGTCTCCATGGCAATACGACCTTCTTGACTCAATCGATAACGGCGCTGAGTCTCAGCACGCTTTCGCTTCTTCTCGCTCGCCATGCACTGGTAGGAGCCAGAAACATGGCATAGTAGTTTTCGTCCTCTGCGCGCAAGGGCAGCAATGACAGATGGAAGTTGGTCAAGGCAAACGTAGTCTTCTGAAGCGAAAGGTAGATCTTCTCGCCCCAGGTGAACGTCGTGCTTGAAATTCTCCACAGGGAGCAAACACGCCCGAAGAAGTTTTCCACGACAATGCGATCGGACGAAACGCGTCGATTGCGCTCAAGGTATTTGGCATCGAGAGCACCGTTTGCTGGGCGATCATTGATCAGTACATAAGTCTATCACCAGTTACTGAGTTATATTGGAAATTTGTATGCTACTTGCCAAATAGCCTTAACTACAATCAAGATCGCCGCTACTGATCCTAAGTTCTAATAGGTGCACTCGTACGAATTATCGCCCGCTAACGCGGTGACACCAACGCTCTTCTTAGGCCGTCCTCTACAGTGACAACCTCTGGAGTGATTGGAATATCGATGTCGAGAAACACCTCTGACGATCTACTGAACTAGACTAATAAGCTAATGATCATTTACACTGCCTGGCTTGGGTGTTGCAAGTATTAAATTCAATGATGTTGAACACTGCGCCACTGAAAGCTGGTAGACACATGGGCATGGCTGACAAGAAGTGAAAAATAAACTTGTGCGCGTCTTCCTTTTCGCCCAGCACCAAACGACAGCCGACATCACCTAGGTGACTGTGCAACTCGTCCATTCGATACCCATTTGCCCACATCTTGAGGCGTTTCGTTGGATCTTTCATTTGGATGTCATGAACGATCCTGCTTAGGCAGTCTTGGGGGCTGAACTAAGTGGTCAGGGCAGGCTGATACGATGGCATGAGGGACTGAACCACGGGAGGAAGGTGCGAAAAGCACTGTAAAGTAGCGTTGACGTAACACGTTCTTCCATAGTGGTGATGGCCTGGTCCTAACCCGAACTCTCCGAGCCACTGAAGCAAGTTTTGCATGGAAAGAACCTGGCAACAATGACAAACAGAATGACCCCGTGTAGTGTACATCTGCCATATGTTTACGACAAATAGTGTCATACTGACGCCGAACCAGAATGTTTGACGCCGAATTTTAATATCTACAAGTTAACGCTGAATCGTAATGTTTGACGCCTAATCCTAATGTTCGACACCAAATCGCAATGCTTTACGCCGAATCGTAACACCGAAGGATATTGTTCGACGCCAAAATGTTAGCATGACAGCAACGCCTCAGTAAGAAATTTGACGCTGAAATAGATGTTTGACACCGAAGTGAGTGAAATGTTTGACGCCGACAAATGAAGGTAACGCAACGAGTATTGACTAGTGTATCGGTTACGCGGTGGGATCATGGACAACGACGATCAAGCATCCAAAGCAAAGACAACTAGAGTGCCCGAAAGGAAGGAGCGCTGCGCAACAACAGCACCCAAAGGAAAGCGGTTTAAAGCGCGCCCAACGAACTTCGACAGCGAGCACCGATCTAATGTAATGGCCATCAGTCAAGCAATGGTTGGCAAGCGTGTCACCCTCAACACGAAGAAAGAGAACCACTCAAACTGGAGTACTGTAAGTTAAGTCCTTGGTCTATGCGGGAAATACTTTGCTCTTGCGAAGTCCACGACCAGTCAACAAGACCCCAACGTACGTCTCGAGTACCACGAGTACACCTTCCACGACCGAAAAACCGAGTCCGGAAATGACCGCACATATCGTTTGCACCATTGCCAAGAGCTGTGGGATCGTGATATTTGTGCCAAGCACCACTTCGACACGTGGATCGAACACGTCGAAACTACCATGATGCACAGCTTCGACGAGGACCTGGTGTTCCCCCAAATGCCGTTGTCACGAAAGTACTCAAACCTGCCTGAGTCCGTATTCAACTGGGGTCATGCCATGTCGGAGGGATATGTCATCAATATCTTGAACGAAGTTATCACGATCATGCCCCGTGACGTCGACTTTTGCTCGACAGCCCACAGTGCACTGCTGAATTGCTTCGAAAACGTTTACATACTGCTGAATTGCTTCGAAAACGTTTGCATGACAACGCATACGATCCGCCGTCGTTTTGCACAATGGAAGTTCTCTCACGAGGACAAAGACAAGCGTTGGAGTTTGAAGATATTGAAGGGTAGGGTGGTTGGTCGGAGCAAGACCAACAACCCCACCACTTCAAGTGCGATGTCATAATGAAATACCTTCTCGATTGCATTTATGTTGCGGAAGAAGAAGTGATCGCTGACGCGATGTCCCCAGCCCAGAAGCACTTAGCCGCTGCCCAGCCACGTGGATCTACAGCACTCATGAACAGCTCTCGAGCTGGTTGCACCGAATGAGGACGGGGAGCAATTATCTATGGCGAACGTGTACAAGTCGTATCTTGAGGGCATGGAAGTTCGTGTCATGCCCCGACGACGACATGGATGCACACCTTCTTGATCGTTTTGCCCCCCCAAGCAACCTCTCTCTTCACCTTGAACCACGCTTTGACGCGTCAAGTAGCCCAAACGTCCTGATTGGACCACTGGCAATGATCCAGTGGTGGAAGCTCGTGTCATGGCCACCCGTATTGACGACATGGAAGCACGCCTGCTTGGTCGTTTTACCCCCAAGCAACCTCCCTATTCACCTCTAACAACACTGAGTCCACCCTGTAGCGCCCATGCAAGTTTGACCCGCTTGCAACGATCCTGTGTTGCTGGTCGAATTGTCTGTGATTCCAAACGCGACGAGTTGGAAAACGCTGCAACGATATTATCATTTCCATCACCGACGCAGCACCTATTCAAACATATGCTGTAGTTTACGACAGAAGACAAAAAGGCGCAAAAGTCATATGATCGAGTCTCAAAGTGTTGTACCCTGGGCAAGCCGCTGTATGCTATCGAAGAGTTTCTCGGGGTCCATATGCAATACATCGACAACACCAAGTACGAGGAGATTGAAACGGCTCGTGAGGCGGTTATGATGTTGTATGGACGCGATTAAGCGGTTAAAATCGCGGTGACGCTATCGAAGAAGGTAGTCGCAGCCCTCACAGCTGGCGAGGTCGAAGTTGTTGCATGCCTTGGCGACTTTGTATCTCACGTTTTAGAATCGTAACGTAGTCTTCGTGCTATGGAGAAGACTTTTATGTATCGACTAATTTCATGTGATATCAATGCCTCAATGGCGCGGAATGGTGTTAACTGCTGGATGTCTATCGACTCAGTTGGAGACTAAATACGCTTGATTACAACTGAGAGTACACTGTCCATTTTACTTCCATCGGGAGATGGCAACGACACTGAGACCCATCAATGACGAGAAGATGAGCTGTCAGTGACATCGATTTTGGCCTGCGGCGATTGGGCAAAATGGAGAAACACTCTAAAAGATAATGTTCTTCTGTGCTGATGTTCCTCAGACACATTGCATTGTGGATCTATGTTTACATACAATACAAAAGGTAAAAACTGCATTGAAACTCGGTTTACAGTTTGGATTCATTTGTATTCCATTATACTTCACAGTCCGCGAGACCATCGAGGACGCTCGGTTTACAGTTTGTATTCATTTGTATTCCATTATACGTCACAGTCCGCGAGACTATCGAGGACGCTTTTTGGGTTTTGATTTGAGTTTCTGTCAATCCAAAATTACATCTTTGTCCAAAGAACACGTTTATGGGCATTTTTTTCTTTCTGCTGCGTTTTTTGTATTTATAGAGAAAATTGTATACTGCAGCAAAAAACCTTTGACACTGCATTGTTAGGTCAAACTATAAGCAGTGTCTTTTTCAACGCAAGTAATTGAGTCTGATTGGTGCTAAATCACGAGCCCGCTCCAGTAGTTTTTCTTTCTCGAAGTGAATATTACTTACTACGTAGTATTATATATTTATATTACGCTTTGTTGACCATGACTGATCCAGACAGACCCCTGCAATAGTATATGTAGTACCACGAAACCCCTCGTAGCTTCCAAGCAAATGCACGTTCCACACATTTCAATATGTAAATCATCCATTCAGTTAAGTCGAGTTCACTAGGCTGCTTTTGGCGGCTAGTTCGGCCTTACGCAACTCGGCGTTCTTCTTGCCCGAAGCAATGCCAAGGCCTCCAAACACGAGCAACATCACACCTAGGAACGCGCCGATGGCCGTAAAGACAAGCTTGGGGGCGTGAGGGTCGCTCTTAAGCGTGTTGCACTTGTCCACGTTGTACACGGAGCAGTCCGACCCCGAGTAGCACCCGATGCACATGCACGCCTTTTTACTGTCGGGTCCGTCCACACATTGGCCATGGGACCCGCAGTTTTCGTTGGTTTTGCACGTTCCTCCGCCTTCGGGGGCCTTGACGGCAAACCCGCAGATGGACTCTTCGGTCGTGGGGTTGGCCGAGTCGATCGGTACCTCGCACTGTCCGCCCTTTGCGTCGCACACGGCGCCTTGCCGACTGCTCGTCATCCACTTGTCTGTCGGGTCCAGCTTCAAGCTCGGATGGGTGCACTCTGGAAACCACGTCTTGGTCACCTTAAACACTGAGTTTATCCCTGGAGTGGGTTCCGGCGGATTCCACGTGCACACAGTGTCCTTGGTGAACCCGCCGATCTGCACCACGGACGGATTCGCTTTGAACTGGGTCAGCAAGTTGGTGTAATCGGCCGTTGGCACTTTCCCCGGCAGTTCTTCGAGCTTGGTGCTGCCCCCTATAGATAGTATTGAAATCATCATATTCACCACTATGATACAACTGACAGATCGCAGAAAAACACACACATAGCAGTCAATCAACCACGAGAAAAGTCTGGAGTATTGACCAATGAAAGAGCGATAATAAATGCAAACAGTAAAGCTATTAATACAACGTTACACTAAACAACGCAATACTAGTACACCAATAGAAACATACTCCAAACATGGCACATATCAGCGTATAAATATATATATATATACCTGTGAAGAGCGGGTACTTTGCGTCTGCTCCGAGCGACGCCTGACCAAAAGTATACGCCAACCCGCCAGAATACACGTCTGTAAACCCCATCGACTTGACCGAGTCCGAAAACAAGTAGGGCATCATCGACCACGTGCGGGGACTGTAGGTATCGCAGCCAAACTCGCCCAGTGCTATTACAATCGGAACGCCCTTGGCCATGTCGAGAAACTGCTGGTACGGGGAGAACGTGCCAGGTACGTTGCACCACCGGTACTCGTTGATCAAGTAGATGTCGATGCTTCGCTCCATCACGCCGTTCTTCATTGTGTCCCCGCACAGCAACCCCATGATCTTCATCACCGTGTACGCTTCGGGTGTCTGCGGCGTGCCACCGTTCACGGGCGTGCCGGCACTGTCGGCCCCGGCATACGCCAACGGCATGATGCGCATGTACTTGGCGTTGCCGCGCATCCAGTTTTTCAGATCCGACGTGTACGCCTTGACACACGCCGCCGCCATGAGATCGTGCTGCATGATTTCGTTGGCCACGACGAACCCCAACGTGTTGTCGTACGGGGCAAAGTCCTTGATGAGGCGCTTTCCGTACTCCAAGAGAAGCGCGGGGTAACACGTCTTGGTCTGGTCCTTCTGGACCTTCGTAACCCCGTCTTCGATCACCGTCGACCCATCGGGACTCCAAATCTTCGTGATCGTCGAATACTTGTACTTTCCGTAGTAGTCCAGGTTTGCCGGCGATGCCGCGACTATCACGTACACCCCCAACGTGTCCATGTGCTTCATGAACTTGTCGTACGTGCGTGTTGGGTCGGCGTTGTACAAGCGGAACGTGTTGAACGACCCAATCAAGGCCTTCAAGTTGGACTCGATGATGGGTTTGCTGAGGTCATAGTTGGCGTCGCTCACATCGTAATCGTACGTGATCCCGCGGATGAAGAAGCGTTCCCCAGTCACGGAGTTGTACATGCGGTTCCCTCGCACGATGATCGGCGCTAGATTTCCGCCTTCTGCCACGGCCGCGCCGCACAAGACCACCGCCGCCGCTCGAAGGACTTGCCACAACATTTTATAGTAACTCGCACACTGGCAAGTAACGGGCCAGAATTGTTTCGACTGTGTCCAGAACGCGTTTGAAATACGTTTAAAACGTTTTCAAAACGTCCACCTCCTGTTTACAATCCGCATATATCGTACTTCGAAGTAAAGAACAAAGTTCTCTGGGTACGATGCATGATACACTCACTTTCAGCAGAGGCAAGGATAACGAACAGTGCCTAGAGTAGGCATCTGGAAAGGCTTGCTAAAAGAACGGTTAGGGCTTGTTGCAGCTTCTAGAGAATACATGTGGGCCTTGGTAATACTATGTATATAATCGATAGATTTCACTTCCTTGAGAGGCTACAGTAGAAGGTGATACTGTTCTACGTAGACGTCTGATTCCGAGTCTCTATGTTTAAAAAACATTCCAAACCCGATGTATTTTTTATTCCTTCGATTGTATTTTAACGCGTCAAATTAGCTTTAACATCACTCCGTTGAAGGCGTTTAACGTGACCGATCCTGAGATTTGATTGGTTGAATATTCCACGATCATATTTTGGTGTTTTGCTCGCCACCCAACCCAAAGCGACATAATGGCGGGAAAGGGCAACGGCGCCGCCGCGACGAAGCCGGACAGCTCGCAGATGGAACGAGAGCTGCGGGAAAGCAACGATGCGATCAAGTTGTGCGACGCAGAGATCAAGGAGCAGGAGATGCACATCCTAAAACACAAATGCGCCATGGAGCGGCACACGGAGCTGTTGAAGCGACAGCAGTACGAACGACAAGACCTGCAGATTCAACGGGACAGTTTGCTGAAACGCATGGAGGTGTTTCGGCAGTACAAGCGAGGGGCCGATCTCGCTCCGTTAGAAGGAACTCCCCCGCCGAAGAAGCACACGTCGTCAAGTAACGCACCGATGACGACTCCAACTCCACCCAAAGCGACAGTTGATGTACGAGGGACGCGATCGGCCTCTGTGGCAATGGTAGTACATCCACCCTCTCCACCGATGAAACCTTCCCAGGCACCTCCGACGACCCCCCGTCGCTTGCGCAATGTCGTCACGGTCGTGAACAGTCCCGTACGTCCGCGCGTCCCTGCCGCATCATCCATCGACCCAACGGCAGGATCTCGACGGAGCTCTACTTCGTCGTCGCGTCACCCCGACCACTTCTGGTCCACGACAGACAAGTACAAAGTGCTCGGCCAGCCGCGGTGCGTGATGATTGCCGACTTGAGCGACCGCAAGATCCGGTGCTCGGCCTTCCACTCGACGCTGCCAGACATCCTAGCCACGACCTCAGACGAAGGCATGCTTCGGCTGTGGCACTACCACCACCCCCGCCGCACGCTGGCGCCCCTGTCCAGCATCCCCGCCACCGCCTTCCGCAAAACCAACGGATGCATCGAGAGCATCGCGTGGAACCCGTCGAGGTCCAAGCTGGCCATGGCGTTCCGCGATCCCGTCAAGGACCAGGGCGGCATCTGCGTCGCCGAGTGGGAATCGGACACCAAACTCAACCTCCCGCCCACCAACTTGTGGCAGGCCGACACGGCCCTGCACCCCAAGTACGTGTACTACTAGTACTACTAGATCTAGATTTCAGTGGTGTTAACAGATTTGATCCATGTGACGCCATATGTAAGGAAAATAGGTTGTGTTTGGATTCTGTTTAATTCATTGAGCAGTATGTATCTGTATTGTGCTCATGCAATATGTTGACCATCCATTGCCGAATATTTTATAGAAATTGACACAATTAAACACTGTATTGCATGGGTTGGTGAGGTACGATTACTGGATGGCTTCTCGGATTGCCAATTAGTATTTTATATTTAATTGCCTATTTGTGGATTCTTTAAATAAAACATTATATTATTCGGTATTTGATTGCCTATTTGTGGATTCTTTAAATAAAAAATTATATTATTCCTGACAAAAGATAAGATATAGTATTGTTGGCACAATACTAGAATATTATTTTATAAAATCTCGTAACCACTCGCAACAAGCAGTGTCGTTGTAGTTAACCATCCCCTTGTACAAACTATCTTTTTCTGTGAATCGTCTATTATTTGATCGTCCATTCTTGTTTGCTATTGAGAAACTTCGGTGTGATTTCGTTCTATGGTGAAGGAAACGTTATAATAATGCTTACTCATTGCTACCCACTAACTATGTAGAGGCGTGTCGTGCATTGGGTGGTTGGACGAGTCGTACTTTGTCACAGGGGGCGTCAAGCACAAGCTCGTGTGCTGGAACCACGCGACGCGGGAGGTGCAGACGCTGCACCAGCACCACCGCAGCGAAGTCCGGTCCGTGTGCCCGCACAGCTCTGGCAACGCCGTCTTTTCCGGCGCTCTCGACGGGTACTTCTTCTACCCACGACAGATATATATATATATATATATCACCAAGCTACTATATTCGAAATGGGTGTAATCTGTTTGCAGACGTGTTTGGAAATATATATGTATATATATATATATATATATATCCACACACGTCTACAAACAGATATGGATGGATGTATAAGTTTGAGTATATGATGCAATGTTGTGTGGATATATGTACTTGTTTCTACTGATTGATGCAAGTGTATGGTTGATTTGGTGTGTTTGGATCGATATATTAATAATATATATATATATATATATATATGGTGCTTGTTTACGAATTGTACTTGGACTTCGAAGTATATATACCTCTTTCCTCGTCCCTCTTGACAGTGTTGAACATATATATTTGTATTTATGGATGTTTACGTGGGAGTTATATATAGAGTCGTGGCCAAGTTTGACCTGCATACGCAGACAGTGTCGGTGCTGCGCGAGTGGCGGAAACCCGTGATTTCCAAGATCAATGCGATTCTGGAGCACCCAGCCAACCCGCACTTGCTCATGTACTCGTGTGTGAACCCCGCCAATCAAGTGATGATGTTCCACGATCTGCGACAGCGTGCCAACGACACCATGCCGTCCATGGTATGGCACAAGCTCCAGAACAAAGGCATGAGTCAGTACATTACGCCTCGGTGGTCGTCTGCAGGTAGTAGTCACTTCGTCTGTCAAAGCAAACCAGTTTAAGGTGGAGAATTGCGTGATTTGATGGTTGGTGTAGGGATGCACGTGTCGTGTGGGAGTACAGTGGGCAACGTGTTCATATGGGACCTGCGCGCGTGCAAACGCTTGGAGTCGCCGCATCAAACTGTGGGTGTGCACAACGGCAAGGTGCTCCATGGGCTGTGGCACTCGACCCAAAACGCCATGATCACAGTCTCCCACGACCGCAATCTAGGGGTCGTCACGTTTCAATAACTTGGATGTATGTACAGTACAGTGAACGTAGTACGATTCGAAATGGGAGTATCGAATGAGCACAACCAAATCGACTGACAATCGATATACGACCAATCAAAACCCACAACTTTACGAATCAAGTAGCAAATCAAATCCACTCTTGGACCAATTCCACATCGAATTAGTGTGACACTGCACCATGTTTATATAGTCAAAAGTCCAAGTTTTGGGCAAAAGGACATGCACAACACACATGTATAAGGACGACACACGAGGATGTTATGTTGTATTTCAAATGTATCCACACATCATGGGGACATTTCGACTATTTGATCATCTTTCACTTCAAAATGACTTCGTTTCGGCATCGTTATCCCGAATGTATACAACATAGTACATACTCCATATTATTACAAGGCCCCAAGTCCTTGATTCTCAATGTTATTAGTTCACCCGTCGTGGATTATATTAATAAATATTAATATGAAAGGATATTACGCAGTACTACTGTAGTACTGTTATTCATAATAGTTGTTGGTATAATTGTACTTCGAAGTATATCTTAATTATTTTTATGCATTTCTAAAATCCGTGATAGTATCCAACATTAATATTAGGTCATATCCTAATTAGTAGAGATGAGAGTAAATTAGGATGATCCTAGGTCATTCCATATACAGTAGGCATCGTCCGGGGCTGCCCGACAAGAACAAAAGATAAATTATTCGGTGAAGTGAGAGGCTTAGATCCGCGCTTGCGCAGACGGCCTCCCGGGCGCTCAGGGCCAACGTAAGGCTTGGTCACTAACTTACTTTAGGTTACGTCCAACCAACTTCATCCAAATATCATCCACGCTTAAAGTCAACAATTATACTAAACATAGTATCCATGGTGGGTATGAATTCCCGTAAGTCTTGATTACCCCACCAGCCGCATGGCAATGGCAATATGACGTGGCATATCGTCGTCGCGTCGTGGTCTGTCTTGGATCCCGAACATGCGCCATGTTTTGATGTCAAATGCAAACAGCACGCCGTTCCAGTGGACCGTGAGGATGCCCGTGAGCACAGCGGACGCCCGGTCCACGTACTTCACGTCATCGTACTCCCACTTGTCGGTGTGAAAATGGTGCTTGGCTGTCGCGTACAAGAAAAACGACGAGTCGGTCAAAGGTTCCATCACCAAACTACGTGTCCGGGTCGTCCGTTTCAGCGGCTGGCGGATCCGTTCGACGAGGTAGCACACGACGCACGACCCCCCCACGAGCCCAATGAGCCCCCCGAAGCGCGACACGAGACCGATCTCTACGAGGCCGCCATGGCACACCAGTTGAAAGTCCAAGGCGTCGACGTCGCAGGTTCTGGATATGGTCGCGATGGGGGCGATGGGGCTCGCGAGGGCCCACACGACGGACGATATCCACACCACGATAAAACTGTGGCCAGAGTACGTGGCCGTGTGGTGCAACGTCAGGACGGAGAAGAGGTCGTTCACGATAAACGTCATCCAGTTGAGCTCCCCTGCAGTTAGCACGACCGTGAACCACGGCGTTGGAATGGATTCAAAGTACGCCACAAGACCGTCCAAAGGGCGGACGAGCTGGAGGGTCGACGTTGAGAGCAGACAAATAGCACAAAACGCCCGCAATAAGATCAGCGGCCGGCCGATCCATACTAGCGACGTGATGCGACTGAACGAGAGCATGTTGGCGGCCTCCACTTGGCCTTTGAGAGCGACGATATACACGCACACGACAACCGCCACGCCCAGCATGACAAACGTGATGTACTGCAGCAGCCACTGCATGTAAAACGCCACATTCAGAGGCACTTCCATCGGATTTACGTGCATCTCCGTGGCACTATTGATCGTGGAGAGGGTCGTGATCGCGCCAACGTCGCCTTGGAAAGTCACGACTTCGCGGATGCCCTGGACCCAATCAAACAAGTACAGCCACGCAAACAGGTTGAAATGGGGGTCCGATCCATCAAACAAGCGCACTTGGGACAGGGCAAACGCGGACGTCGGGGGGTTGTGAGGCCGAACGAACTGCACCAAATCCAGATGAATTTCGTCTCGTATCGTAGTCTGAACGACTTGGGTGCGACGGAGCCAATCGTCGAGCTGCCACGTGGATTCAAACGTCCGCAAGAAGGCCACCGATTGGTTCAAGAGTAGCGCAATGTTGGCAACTGGCGCCGTCACTTCCCGTCGGGCGACCGCGAACACATCCAGAGTGGGGCCCATGACGGCGACGGTGGCCATCATGACGCGAAGGGTGTCGCTGATGAGAACCTCCTGGAGCCCCGCGTTGCACGACCCCTTGGAAGTAAACCACATGGCCGGGCGGTCGTCGACGGTGAGGGACGTCCAGATGTCGCACATGAGGCTGCCACCGCCGAGGACAAATCCGTCCCACGCCGTCGGGCGCACTTGCCACGTAAACGACGAGTAGATGGGCCAGAAACGCTGCTGGCTTTCTCTTGTGGCCGCGAGGAGGCTCGTGAGGCGGTGCGACAGGTCGCGGTGCAGCACCCGCAGAACCTTCGGACACGGGAGGCGCTTGAGGTGAATGGTCCCGAGAGGCCCGAGGGTGGTCTGGAGGAGGGCGAGTGCAGAGCTGATTGGACGGGGAACTATGCCGGCAGCGACTAGAAACGACTCGACGGTCGTGTTGGCATACACATACGTGGCAGCCTGTCGCACAAGACTGCCAGAATTGTTTGACGACATCAACAAGTCGACCGCGAATGGCCAGAGCATTTTGAACGTCGTTTGCACTGCGAGTTGGAGCGACCCGTTGGACGACTTGAGCGTGAGGGGGTACCTCCACCCAAACGCATTTTGCACGGAAAACGACTCGATAATTCCGAGGGACTTGTAGTTCTGCCACTGGGTAGTGTACCGGTTGAGGCCGTGCTTGGTTGTCCAGACAGATAGTTCGTCTAGAACGGAGCCTGGGGAGGTGGCGTGGGCGGTGGTGGAGGCGACCCACTGCCGGCCGTCGATGGAGGTGTCGAGGAAGGCAAGCAACGTCGTGGCGAATGCGTCGCCCCAGCACTGCGTCCACGTGTTCCACGGCACGTTTCTTAGAAACGCCTCAACGTACACGGCGGCGTTGCCAGTTTCGTCGGATAAACACCGCGCTTGTTGGTTGGACGTTCGCCCCATCTCCCACCGTCTTTCAAAGTCCACATAACAGTACGACGTCATAATCCATGGCACATTGCACCCATTTTCCATGTGCCGCAAGCTTGTAATGACATTCACCAACGTATTCGCTTCATCTTGGATGGACGTAGCATACAGCGTCGGAATCAACGTTGTGGTGGCCGTTGTGTTAATTGTGCCAGTCAAGGCGCCATACTGGGGGTCGGTTAGAACGATGGAGGTGTCGATGGTGTCGGCATCAATCTCCTCCTGGAGTCCCCGCGAGTACAAATTGGTCATGTGCGTCAACGTATTGATGTCGAACCCAGCCCAGAAAAAGTCATTGTCCATCGCAGACGCGGTGAGCTGAATGAACGCATAGCTGCCGCCAATGCACCCGCACATATAAACCAAGCTCAGTGTGCCGAGCCACGCGTGACGACTGGTAAATTCGACGCCTTTTTGTTTTGTCATAGGGGGGGGTCTATGGCCAGGGGTGATTTGTTGCGGCGTCGGGGCAAACAACGTTGACCCGAACGACTGGCCGGACGGAATTGCTGGATCCCGCGTCGTGACGATCCACAGCTTCAAATCGAACAGGTACGTTTGATTGAACGGCACCATCCCCGACAAAATGCACATGACGGGATCTAAGTGCCAATATTCAGACGAAAAGATGGCAGTTGCGGGCGGCAGGAGGAAGGCGTCGGCCGCGGCTGGAATTAATGCGTGGTGGTACGTTGTCTTGCCGGAATTCTGGCGAGGGAAGACGGAGCTGGACGATCGTCGGATGAGCAGAGTGACGACGACAGCCAGGGCAAATGCCCCCGCTTGAATCCCCAAGAGCCAGCAAACGCGGGGAAAACTCCCCACTTGCACCACTCCGCTGGTGCAAGTGATCCCTTGTCTGAAGGAAATAACCACGCAATTTCGATCCAATGTCGTCTGGACTTGCACCGGAGCGATGGATTCCAAACATAGCGTTCCGATGAAAGCGACAGCACTGGCAATTGGACTCGATATCTTCGCGCTATGCCCCGTCGTCCAAGGCAAGAACAAGTCGACGAGGACGTACTCGACCCACAGCGCCTCGCCAGACAGCACGACTCGCTCCAGAAAGCTGCGAGGGTCGTCTTGGTAGAATGTGATTCCAGACGGGAGGGACATGAGGCGGGGGGTCGCGGTGGCGAGCATGAAGAGCGCGGAGATACCCCGTACAAACAGCAGCGGCCTGCCTACCCAGACGCTGCCGAACACGCGGTGGTATTGAAACAGATGTCGGCCGTCGTAACCGCCTTGGAACCCCTGCTTGGTATATGCGAAGCACACAACTGAGACGACACCCGACAGCACCGTGATGTACACGGCAATGTACCAGAAGTAGTAGCACGCTTTGCGAGGCAGCTCCAGCGGGTTAGCCGCAAACGGCTCTGTGGGCATCCGGTCCGAGAGGAGGTTGAGGCGGCCGCGGTCCCCTTCGATCTGTAGGACTTCGCGGGTTCCGTCCACCCAGTCTAGGAGAGTCGCCCACCCAAAGAACGACCAGCTAGTAATACTAGACGGAGGATCGAGAATCGACTGCGTGAGGAGGACAAATGCTCCTTGTTGAATTGCCATCTGGACGAACGAGATGTTGAATGCACGAATGGTCTGGATGAGTTGTACGAGCTCGGTTGATTGAGTGGGCGTGGCGAGCCATTCGGGCGTGTGGTCGAGCAGAGCGAGGGCGAGGGCAGTAGCGTTTTGAAGGGCGGATGTACAGATACCCGCGTTGGACGGACTCTGCGTGCAAATCGCAGTCGGATTCGCAACGGCAGCAGTCGCGTTAACGGTCTGGTCCGGTGTGGGGAGTAGTTCTCTTGCCTGCCACATCATCATCACCATCGCAAACACAGCATTCACCTTGTCCAAGGGAATGACAAACGGCGCCTGCACTTGGCAACTGTCGTCGTACGAAAACGGCGCTTGCACGAACGACTTGGGAGGGAAGATCGGACACAACGGATTTCCTCCGAGGTAGGCAGTAGATGGCGTGCACCACGCCGGAGGCTCGACGTCCACCGCGACCACTCCACCCAGGCCGAGAAAAGAACTTGCGTCATTCGATTTTTGTTTGAGTTGCCCTCGCAATGTCCTTTGGAACGACTGCACGAGCTCCAATAACACGACGGGGGGGCGGATCCACCTGGAGTCCCAGTTCATGAGGGGACCGATGGCTGCCCGCACCACCATCATGCCAGGGGACGACACGGCGCCGTTGTACGCTAGGTCCCAGTCGAGGCCGATGTTTTCCAGCGTCCGATTCGCCTGGCGCACCAAACTGCACCCGTAGTACATGCACCAGTTCATGTCGTTCCAGATGCCGACATTCATGCGCACCGTGCTCCACGACGACAGCCCCCGTGCGACGTAGTGACTGGACGAAATCGATAAAGTCTGGGGGGTGCCGAGGGCGTTGACCACCTCGACACTGTCTTCGACGCCGTATTGGAACCGGTTCTGGTACTCAATAGTGTACTCAGTCAGCCCCGCGGCATGCCACAGTTGGACTTCGTCGGGGATTGAGAGCCATGTATGGGTGGTCACTGCCGCCATCCAGTCGGCGCCCCCAACCAAGGTGTACAAAGAGGCAAAGATCGACTGGTTGAATTTCGACCCCACCGACGACTGCAAGAGGTCGACGGTCTGCACGTTTCGGAGCAACGACTCGAGGTGCACCGCCGCGTTCGTCTGATACTCGCGGTCGCAGCGGCGTTGCCGGCCGGCGGTGTGGGCCAGCTCGAAACGCCGAGTGAAATCCACCCAGCAGTACGGAATCACCGTGTAAAAGCTCTCAAACAAACTGTTTTTGCGCAGTGTGGTCACGGCCACGTCGAGCGGCAGCGCTTTGAGCATCCACCGACGGACAGAAGTCGGCCGCGTGTCCACGAACGTGTTGGCCCCCGAGTAATCCTTGAGCATGGCTTCGCCCACCAAATCGAGCGGTTCGGCTGGTGACATGAACGACGAAGATGTAGTTTGGAAGAGAGCTCTAGAATTGAACACGTCGGCGAGGTACGTTTGGTCGCCGGTCGTGTTGAAATGGCGCCACCAAAAGTCATTGGCGGCGCTGTGTGCCAGTATCGTCAAGTACAGCGCACTGATCGCCAACGACCCCAGTAGGTACGCCACACCTGCCACGATCACCTTGTTGGTTGGAGCGCTTGGAATGGTAGGAAGGGAAGACATGGGAAGCCAGATAGATGATCGCGGGGCATGCCAATAGTTGCGATGGCAGTTTCCACGACAGGGGCTGTCGACGCCGTTTCAGACCGTTACGATGAAACCGAAACCCCGAAACTCGTTGATTGTCGTATTACTAGTACAAGGGGTGATATTAATGGACCAACTGATCAGAAACCGCATCCTTCACCTGCTTGTAGAGTCACCTGTAATACTGTAGTCGTGTCAGATCCTTTTCGCTACTATTAATAGCAGGGTTTGTCGAGTTTCCAGTTGGTTATTGCTTGGACGATGATATCGTTGGTGAAGTGAGTCTTCAAACCATAACAAGACCAGAGGCAAAATCGCAGTGTTACGTGTATTACGTAACACTGCGATGTTGCCTCTGGCATTTGCAGCTGAATGTGACAATGAATTGTCGAACTCGAAAAGTTCAGGTGCGTCTATAATTACTGGTCGGACTGTAGATGGGATTTTGGCTCTGACGATACACAGGACTACACTACTGTAGTACAGTAGAGTCACAAGGTTCAGTCGTTCCTACTACTGTAAACGTGCATGTATTAGTAATAATACACTGCAGTACACTCCCCAAACCCCATCATACTCTGGTTTGAACTCGACAAACCAACAGTTATCCCCCACTCGATACCCAATAGGATGGCTTGACCACCTTATAAGAAAGGTAAGCTATATTGCACATACTGACTGTTTCTACACTTCTGCTTGCGACCGGCGGGGGATGTAAAACTTGCGGTTGTACTTGACGTTGTCTGCAATCGCGGCCGCGCGCGTGCGTCGCATGTCCTTGAGGTCGGCGTGGCTCATGCTGTGGATGGCGTTTGGGTCTTCCGACAGCAGTTCCGTGTAAATGCCATACTTTTTCACCAGTTTTCGCAGTACGAATGCGTTGGCTTCGGGCAGCGACAGGCCGTGGCGGTCCATCTCTTCCAGCACTTCCATGGCGCTGCGGAGCTTGCGCTGACACGCAAAGTAGTCGACCAGGTACCCGTAGAACGTGGCGTCCGGTTTGATGCCTAGTTGATATATATAAAGCAATTTCTCGAGACATTTCTGTACCGTTGGCGTGCAGTTCGGCCACGCAGTCGATGGCCATCTGGGGCCGCTTGGCGCGCGTGTACATGCGCATGAGGCTGCGGTACGTAAACACGTCGGGCTTCAAATTGTGTTTGGCGAATTCTTCCGCCACGAATTGGCGCGCGGTCTGCAGGCGCAGCGCGTTCGCGTGGACGCTGAGCATGTTGTTGAGCAAAGCCACGGACGGGCCATGCAATTCCAGGCACTTGTTGTACACGGTAAGAGCCTGGTCTCGGTTGGCGTTTTGGAACCGATTGAATTCTTCCAGCGGCAGGGGGTTCCACGCCAGAGCGTCCACGTCCGCCGGGTCTTCGTCCTCTGGGGGAGGGGGCGGCCCGGACAAATATTTGGGCACGGGGATGGGCTTGCGGTCCACCTGAAATAGAGAGTTGAGTCCCCAATGTATATATATATATATATGTAAGACACGAAATAGAATCAATAATAAAGTTGTTACAATAAAAATAAAAAGACATTGCATATATATATAATCACAGAAAATACCATTGAACCGTGACGTGATGATAGGTGCGGTCACATTGTAACATAGTTGAGAGCAACGAGTATAAAGCAAGTAATCATCAACATATTAGGTTCGATATATATATATATATATCGATATGTATTATGTATTGATCAATGATATATTTTGATACATGGAAAACATCTCACAAATGCAAAGTGAATCCATCGCCAATATATATATATAGGTACCAAATATTTCTTGAGGATTTCTTGGTCTGCAGGGGACAAGCCTTTGGTTTTCACGCGGCTGAGGCTGTCGTCGTCGTCGTCGCCTGCCATGCTATCGTAGCTGTCCTCGTCGTCGTAATCGTCTTCGTCGTCCGAGTCGGATTCTTCGCCTTCGTCGTAGCCCATATTGTGGTTGGAATAGACACTACCAACACAAATACATCGTTATTCTCTGTATATACACACGTACAAAAACGATACTTTTGTTTGCCGGGGCGATCGAGGTCAATGAGCTGGCCTTGGTCATCCCACTCGAGTTCCGAGTGCCGCGTGGTCGGAATGATTGGCTCGAGTGAGTCCGGGGGCGGGATATTGCACTTGGCTCGTCTCACGACCGACTTGATTTGCGCGCGGGCGTACACGTTGAGCAGCGAGATGAGAATGGCTTTCGTCTGGGGCACTTGGTGCTTGTCCATGAGGTACACGAGTTTGTCGGCGCTGCGGAGGTCGCCGTGTCGAGCTGCAGCGTTCAACATGTAGCTGTACACGACCGTGTCCTACAGGTATATATATATATAAGGTGCTGGCAATATAGCGGATTATTTGAATATATATATATATTGTGTTATTGTACCGGGATGATATCGTAGTTGTCTTGCATTTCGTAAAAGAATTCCCACGACTTGTGCGCATAATGGAAGGATTTGGAGCACGCGTGGATCAGACTCGCGTATGTGACGTTGTTGGGCGAGATTTGCAAACTCAGCATGTCTTCCAACAGGTTGATGCAGCGCTCGACCCGGCCAATCTTGGCATATCTAGATATATATATATATTCAATATGATCACTTCAAAATCAAAAGGGAACTATCTACAATCAACCCCTTTGAACGTAGTATGCGTAAAAGTCGATAATATGACATAAACAATCGTGAGAAAAAGTATATTTCATGCATTACGAGTATTAAATTTAATTTTTAATTATTTTTATTTTAAATATCCACTTCCAAAACATCCAAAGTGTGATACAAATCCAAACAAAATGGATAGAAACGAACACACACAAATCACATTAATCCATAGCTACGTTTTAGTATGAAAATAATGTTTATCATATATAGGCTCTAATAGACATAATATGAAACTATATATATCATATACACGCTAATAGTCGATATAGAAATACTATAATATGAATATATATATATATATCTTAAAGACACTAGTCGTACTGCGTACCCGTGAATGAGCGAGTTGAACGTGATCAAGCTGGGCTGGGCAACGTGGGCACGCATGATATGAAACGTTTCGAACGCGCGATCCATGTCCCCTACGGCGATGGACGCGTTCATGAGGATCGTAAACGACACCACGCTCGGCTGGAACCCGTTTGCTTGCATCTTTTCGAAAATCTACCACAACATGACGTTTCAAACGCGTTTCAAACACGTTTCAAACAACGCGTACGTTGTAAGCCCAGTCGGGACGACCGCTTCGGGTACATGCTTGCATGACGGCGTTGTACGTTTGCAACGTCACGGGTACCCCAACTTCCTTCATGTGCCCCATCACGCGCACGGCCTTGGCGGCTTGCTTCGTCTCGGCCAGCGCCGCGATGTGGTATCCGTACGTGCGTTCATTGGGTTTCAGGCGCGGGGATAGCTTGCGGGTCTTGGGCACGACTTGGAGCGCGTCTTCGGATGTCGACTACGAAGATGTCAGAACGGAGATGTGACTCGACGGAGAAAGGACGTACGATGTCGTCGTCGGAGGAGGATGGAGAAGAAGGTGGTGGTGGAATGGGACCGTCAGTGTGTTGCTCCAACTGGTGTAGAATGGCTTCGGTCTCGTCGACGCGCTTGTGGATCGCATACACGCGCAGCAGGTCGTGCAGGAGGTCGATGGTTTGGTCCTTCGACTTGAGGCGGTAAAACGACTCGGCCACCTCGTCGGGGTTCAAGTCGCGCAGCGTCAAGTCCATGATGTCGTTGTACACGTACTCGCGATGGCGACCTATAGCATCATCGTTGTAATGTGCCATGGGAAGATGGATGGATCGACGGACCCGAATTTATGGTTTCTTCGAACGCCAGGTCGTACTCCTTGAGGAGCGCTTCGTCCTGCTCAAACTCTGCGTACGCGGCTTCGTGTTTGATCAGCTGCTTTTGCTTGCGTTTGACGTCGCGCATCCGACCCGCGACGTCCTTGTGGCCGCGCGAGATGTCCTTTTTCTTCTTCTCCTGCTTCGTCAACGTTTTCGAGAACTGCCGGGGGATCTTCACCACGGACGCAGACGCTCCATCCTTCCGCTTGAGCAGAAGAGGGGATGCATGGAAGGCGCGAGATGAAGTCAAGGTGGGACGTGCCGCCAACGCCGAGCGTTTCAATAGAGTTGCCGCAGCCCACATCTTTGGAATTTAACATGTAAATTGTTGGACGAGGAACTCAAATGCGGTCAGCCAATCCAATCGTTGCAATGTCCAGACGCAGCCAATCATATTGAGTTTCAGCTTCAACCAATCAACTTCAAAGACGTCAAAAGGAAAAACGCGCGTTTATACTCAAATAACGCGTCCAACGTGGAGCGTTTTAAGTTTAACCTTTCTAGTGAATGAAGGTCGGTGGAAGGAATGCATGTATTTCATCGCATCCTTGAAATCATGGCGGCGGCAGCGGCGTACGTCCTGCTTGTGATCCGCGGCCTTGAACATGTCGCATTGACTGAAATCAACAGCAAGCTTCAAGTAGATGTTTCTTGCTATCGCACGCCATGTTCACCGATGGCGTCTTATTAGGTGGTGTCCATCGAAATCTTGACGTTGCAAGCTGATCCAGCCCAGCCGCGCCTCGACGTCGAGCGCGGCGAAGCAGCGGTGGGGAAGCTTCTTCTATATACAACGTCGTCTCTAGCTGATGTAAAGTCCCTTTGCTCCATCCAAGTACGTGTACCTTCCTTCAACCGCCACCGTCATCTGTATTGACATGTCCTAGGCGTGCTTGGCTTACCTTGGGCACACCGCGGACATTGCCACAGCCACGTCGGCCGGACTCAACCAGATCGGCGTACGTATCGTAACACATGCTGCGTCGTCTCTCATATATACCCCTCGCATCCAGATGTTGGTCGAGCGCGCCTCTACATGGAGCGCCGCGTTGGCGCTGTGGAAGGACGTCCACCATGATCCACCTCCGCCTTCGTCCAAGGAGGATGCTCCATCTTCCGCGCTTCGCTTTCGCGGATCTTGTGTGCGGGATGGCAAGCATGCATATTCGTCCGAGGCGATCGCGGGCGCAGTGGGCACCGCCGTCCTCAACTTGCATCCCAAATGGACCGTGTCGCTGTCGGACTTTGACGTGGAAGTCGTCGCACTCGTCATGCACTCCCACGTCGTGTGTGGTTAGTATTACTAGACACACCAACCTTCGTACTAATAGTAGTACATTCGCAGGGATATCCTTGGCCGAGAACTCCAAGACTATCAACTACCGCGGCGGCCGCCTAGCCCCTGAAGCCCGCCACCTCTCGTCTCTGCAGTACATCTCGACCCTTCGACCTAGCACCGCCTATCTAATGCTGCAGTTGGCCAAGTGTCAGCCGGGCGATGTGGTGCTGGACTGCATGTGCGGCGTCGGGACTCTCCCAGCCTGTGCCGTGCGCTGGGGTACTGACTTGTGTGTTGACATGTTGAATAATTGAGAGTAGGACGCCATGTTTTTGGTCTGGGGGGAGATGTGACTCGGGATGCGGTGGACCAAGCCAGTGCCAACTGTACTGGTCAATATGCATCCATCTGTCAATGGAGCGCCGAGAACCTTCCGCTGCGCGCGGCATGTGTCGATAGAATCCTCGTGGATATGCCGTTCGGGATTCGTTGCGGCAACTCGGTCAACAACTCCAAGCTGTACCCCAAAGCGATTGCTGAAATGGCGCGGGTGTTGCGGCTCTACGGGATTGCAGGTACAATAGTACTAGTTGTTCAGATCTACTAGTATTTAGTATTACTAGTATTGCCCTTTTAGCCAAAACGTGGGCTGACACACTCACAAATCCATCGATCAATTATTTGTACAGAATTTTGCATGTAACAACGTCTCGTGTCACACTATTTTAAGTCACACACTAATTGAATGTTGAATGGTTGAAGAGTGGATTTGATTGGCCACTTGAGCTGTGTTCTACGTTTTGATTGGTCGACAGCACAATTCTAGTATTCATGCGATGCTGTGATGATGGACTAGTGCTACTGGTCATGTCCAAGAAGCTGCTGATGCATTCGGTGCGCAATACGCCGTCGCTGGTCGTAGTCGACGCCCTGCAGGTCAACATTGGAGGTCTCGGCGTCGGTGTGTTTGTGCTGCAGAAGACGTCGCCTCACATGGCGCCACGTCACAAACCAGCAACTTCAACAGCCAGTAAACGAAAGCTCCAACAAGAGCATGTACCCTCGACAACAGTGTGAATCCAAGTCAAAGTTCTAGACCAGAATGACCAAAGACGATAATAATACCACGTAGGTGTATTATATTGAGATGTATTCTACTAGGTTGGAGAATATATGGCATCTTGTATTCCAGGTCGAAGGTGGAGCAAAAGTTACGACCCCAACGCCATGTCGGATTGCTGGATTTCACGAAAACTGTACGCCCCACGTCCATCAAACTAGGCACATTCACCGTCAATATATATATATATATATATATAGATTTATACGGATGGCAATATATATATATATATCGTACTTGAAGCACATAGTCGTGGTATTTCCACAGCGACTGGCGGTGGGATACGGTGAAGAGCGTGATATTTTGCTTCTTGCAGTACGAATACATGAGTCCTTCCACGTCCACACTCACCGCCGACGTGCATTCGTCCAAGATGGCAAACTGCGGCGCATGGTAAAACAGACTACAAATATATAATTATATATTTTAGATAAATAGAAATACAAACCGAGCCATGGCCAGACGCTGCTTTTCACCGCCGCTCAATACGTCTGCCCAGTCTTTGACTGCATCCCATCCATCTAGAAATATATATATATATATATATATATATATATATATGCCGTATGTAGCAATATCATAGAACAATAATATCTCACTCGTACCATCGGCCAAGTACTCGAGTTGCACCAGTTGCAGCAACTCCAACAAATCCGCATCGTCCGTCGAGTCATCCGCCGTGTTGGGGTACAAAATTTGATCGCGTAACGAGCCTACATGCGTAAATATGAATATATATATATAATATATTTACATAAATAGCAGATATTCGTACCGAGGGTCAAGTACGGGCGTTGGGGAATGTAAAACAGTTTGCTTCGCGCGGGTTTCACGAGCTATATATATATAAATATATTGTTTAGGTTGGAAGATATATAGATTTCAGTGTTACTTTGCCGCCAAAGAGAGGCCAGAGTTCGCCCAGGAGCCGAAACAGCGAGCTTTTGCCGCACCCGTTGGGTCCGCACACGACCACGTTCATGCCAGACTCGACCTAATCATTGAATTAAAGCAAATAATTAAAAAAAGTACAAGTAATTATTGTCGATTTGATACAAATTTGGGGAATCGCGCCGACCAAACCGATCCACAATCGATCTGATTGGTTGAATTTCATTGAGAAGGTTTTGATTGGCTAATAATTTGAGCTCATGTAGCCAATCAAATCGATTTAAATTCCAAAGAGAAACCACGCCACAACAGAATGAAATTTCACTCGAAAGCACAATATAAAACGCCATAAAATATAAATGACATCGTTAATGTGGATTCGATACGAATTTCCAGACCCCGTCGAATCAAATCTCGCCGCCGAATCGAATATATACGAATCGACGCGATTGGCTAATCCATTTTTGAGTGGATTTGATTGGCTCTTGCAGAACGGACAAGGATATTCAACCAATCACAACTCCAGCATATATTGATCAGACAAACCAGGCGAATTTTGGAAAATGTATAGCGAATTCACAATATTCACTGTAAACCATTTAGAGCACGCTTCCTTCATATACAGAATGATAGTACCTTGAACGACAGAGACGGCACCAACACGTCGCCGTTGGGGGTCATGAGTGGCACATTCTACAAGATTTGAATTAGCTTTAACGATACAATAGTATCATACTAAAGGTAGCATACTTGAAACTCGATCACGTGGTCCTTGTATTCGATGGTGCCGGTGTGGTTGGTGGTTGGAGAATCCGACTGAATCATGGTACGGGTGTACTTGCCAGCGTGGAGGTCGTTGAGCACTTGGATCATATCCGTGACCCGTAAAGTAAACCCAGCAAGGCGGGTCAGTTCTCGACCGGATAGCACCAGACGCCCCATGGCTTCGGCCAATTTCATCAACTACGAGACATTTAAAATGGATTTGAAATAGATAGGACGTAGTACCATTTTGCCCGACCGAAAGTAATCTTCCATGCGTTCGGCATGGGATGACGTGGCGTGGCGTGTGTCGGCCGGGTTTAGAAACGGCCGCGACACAAGCCAAAACCCCACCACCGTGGCAAAGTACTATATATACAGATTGTCGGATTTAAAAATATTTTAAAAAGCACGAGTTGGCACAACATTTTAAAATACATGGTTTCTCATCAGTTCAAACCGATTTAAAATACATGGTATACTTTTGATGTTGTCAATAATCAAAATCACGAGGTGGCAACATAGTATAGTTTAAAATTCTTTTTAAATGCATGGTCATTTCAAACAGATTTAAAATACATTGAATACTTTTGATGTTGTCAATAATAATAAAAAACACGAGGTGGTAACATAGTAGTTTAAAATCCTTTTAAAACACATGGTTTGCTCAAGAATTTCAAACAGATTGAAAAAACATGGTATACTTTGGCAATGATGTTGTCCACGACAGTGATGGAGAAGCGGAACTGCTGTCGGATTTAAAAATATGAAAAATCAAAATCACGAGGTGGCAACATAGTATAGTTTAAAATTCTTTTTAAATGCATGGTCATTTCAAACAGATTTAAAATACATTGAATACTTTTGATGTTGTCAATAATAATAAAAAACACGAGGTGGTAACATAGTAGTTTAAAATCCTTTTAAAACACATGGTTTGCTCAAGAATTTCAAAAACAGATTTAAAAAACATGGTATACTTTGGCAATGATGTTGTCCACGACACTGATGGAGAAGCGGAACTGCTGCGCCTGCCGAATGAGATGGACGAGCGCGTCGTACGACGACTGCAAAATCGCATGTTCCCGCTTGTTGCCGTGGTAAAATGCAATTTCTACACGAATAGATTGGTTCAACGTGGCAAATGTGGACCTCTATGTACCTTCGCTGTGGGTGATAAGTCTGGCGTTCACAAAGCGATAATTTCCCTCTAATCGTTGCTCGGCGATGGTGAATCGGCCGGTGGGTTGGCGCAACCACGTCAGGAACACCCCCGACCCGACCAAGTAGCTGAGCATGGTGGTCGGCCCGCTCAACCCGATCGTGCCCGCCAGCTTGTACGCGTAAATGGAGATGTCCAGGAGCGGCTTGGTCACGTTCGAGTACAAGTCGGCGACGGACGTGGCGAAGCGCTCCACGTCCACCTGATGGACAAGGTTTGGATGCATGAGAAGAAAGAAAAAGTACCGTGAGGAGTTGGTCGGGGTTGGTGATGCGGGTGTCCAGGTTCGACACTTTATAGTACGTGTACTCGTGCAGGTATTTCGTGTACAAGTACGTCGACAGCCGCGTGCGGAAGCGCAGACTGAGCTCCGTTTGACCGTACTTGAGCAGGCAGTTGACCACCGACACTGGAAGCATCACGAGAAGGAAGCGAGATAGGTGATGGACAAAGTCCTTGCGCGAGCCGCTGATACTATGGGAGGTTTGAGATGAAAGGACAAAGGGAGAGGGACGTACATGGCGCGCTCGATAGAGGTCATCATGTGCAAGATCGTAATGTCAAATGTCGTCCGCGCGGTGAGCAGCCCCGCCACGAGAAGCGCGTACGCGACTTCAGGAGTCCACAATCCCGGCACGATGATGCGAAAGAGTCGCATGAAGCGTCCGAGAAAGTCCTACATGATGCGGCGACACGGTCAACCTGGATGTGCGTGCGATGGAGAAGGGGTACGTTGTTGATGGCGACTTTCTTGTCCTGGCCTTTCTTCTTCTCGGGGGTGTACTGGGAGTTCAAGCTGCATGCACTTTCAGCATCCTTCTGTCCTTTCTCGCGGATCGCGAGGGCCAGAGCGATCACAGACAGCGCCACGCCGCCCGCGAGCTTGCTCTGCGCCACCATCGATCAACAACGGATAGATAGACGTGTTGATGCATCCTTTTCACAGTCAATTATGATTGGTTAATATCTTCTTCATGAGGCAATCGGATTGGCTCATGTTTCGGAATTCCAAGAAGGTTCGCCATGCAGAGATGGGAACTTTGGATAACGTATATGGCCAGTTTATGGTACACTTGAAAGAGACTTGGTTGTAGAATGCAGCTTACTCGTCTCCCAGGCCCGGGATTTCAATTCTGAAAAGGGCTGCCTGCATGAAGCCGAAAGGTTGGGCATTCTTCTGATTATTTAATCGGCTTGAATAGACTTCAGCTTAGCGTTCATCTACTTCGATTTCCACTGTCAAGTCAAGGCAAAATAGGAGGGACGGTTTATGGTGCACGGTTTAAGCTTAAAATATGTATGCTATTTTTGCTTATTTTTTAGTGATTTCATTTTTCTAGTGATTCGATTGGCTACTCCAAAACTCAAGCAATTCCATTGGCCAATTTGAGTGCACCTTAAACTGTCCCATGCACCATAAACTGGCCATCTACGTTAACAATAAGCTCGATGGTGCATTCGGTGCGTGTCCTACCTGACTGCATGCCTAACCATCGAGTCTGGGGCGCTATTTACATGGCTGCGATGCAATGGATCTCGAAGAAAGTCCACTTGATCGTCGACTGAGACTGGCGTTTCCCTCGCCTGTTAGACGAACATTGAAACGCTTCCGTGGTGTATTTCCCTGTGCGCCCTTTCGCCGCGATCCTCCGTCCTGTCGGTGGTGTGCAGTCTTCACTTGCTTTTTATGGTCCGAGTCAGAGTCAAGCCATCATCGTCCAACGTCATGCTTCCTCCATTCCACCAAGACGTCCGCTGCTCTCGTGTCCCGTCGTGGCTGACTCGCGTGGTGCTTCCATGCACAGGAACACTGTACCTCGCGGGCACCGTCGGAACGAGCTTGGCCTATTTGACCGTGTTGGTCGAGTACGTCGCCAACGACTTCTGGTGGCGCGAGTTCAACACGACCGGGGGACAAACGTACGTTGCGGATGTGTTCAATGCGAAACTCATCTTGGGGGGGTCGGACCGCCAATCCGTCGACTTGTTGGACGCCAGCGCCGCCATGCTCTACGACTACTCGGCCACCAACACATTCGTTCATATCCGGCCCGTGGCGGCGCGCCGATGGTTGCTGGACGCGTTGCCGCTAGACGTCGCGGTCATCACGATCCGGAAGAACAGTCTGTACGAGAACGTGTTTACGATCGTGCCACATTGCTGGGTCGACTTCGACCGCCGCTTTGACATGGCGCATACTGTAAAGCGGCAGCAACGATGCAAGCAACGGCAAGGCGCCAACGCCGCCGTGTACTTGGAGTCATTGCTGCGAAACGTAGATGCGAGCGATCTGTTGCTTAGCGCGTTCGGCCAGACCTTGTACGCCACCATCTTGACGCCGCTGGGCAACATGACGGGCGGCGCGGCGTGGGTCCAGACTCTGCCGGCGACGTGGCCATCTGTGGCGGACGAGGTGCAGTGGTGGAGTCGGCACAGTGTCACACATTGGACGATTCCAATGCAGAATCGGTTCCAAGTCGGGTTTGAAGACACGATTTCGATTGTCAACGCGTTGGGCGTGAGCCAGCCCATCACGATCAGCTCGTGGCCGTACTTGTACAGAGGACTCGCGGCGTGGTCGTCGTGCTATTCGTCCGTGGGTCTGTGGAATGACCTGAACATGTGCACGTTCTACGGGTGCACTTTAGTGGCCAACTCGAACTCGTCGCTCGTGAATATGGGGATGGACTGGGACTTCGAGTACAACGGACCTGCCTCCACCGTGGGCATGCGCTTGATTCGATCGAGGATTGGGCCGCTCATGGCCGTGGATTTCAACTACGTGTACGCGCCAGCATCGCTCGTGGCTGTATTTGAGGCGTTTCAGCGGCAGTTTCTCATCGCGTTGATGCAAGTTGCTGTGGAAGTGGGTGACGAACCAGTGATTGACGTAGTGCCGACGTCGTGGCAGGACCCGACCCTGTTGTTCTACGGCGGCAGTCCGCTCTGTCTGTCGTTTACCGAGCCCCAGTCGTACCCGCAGATGCCGCTCGCATTCAACGACGGCTGCCAAACCCAAGATCCGTTTGCGATCGAGTTCAACCGCCCAAATTTGGTCCTGGCCATGCTGGTCTTGGGCTTTCACACCCCAGATGAGGTGGATGCAGTGTGTAAGCTGAGCGTCAACAGCGTCCAGGCGTGCCACGCGGCGTTAACCAGTGCCTTGACGCTGCTACGTCCAGTCGTCGCCGATTTCAATATGGCCGACGTGCCTCGTGCAGTGCAAGACATCATGGCTCTGCACATCCAATTCATGCAGCTGGCCGTTCGAAACACGAGTAGTCGGACCAGTGTCTTGTTGACGCAAGACCTGCTCCCGTCCACAGACTCAGCGTGGTCGTTCATTGGATGGATAGCCTTGTACGACTGGGTGGACGGCACCCGTGAAGTGTACAACGTCGAAGGCGACCAAGGCGAGATAACCCTCATGACAGGGATGGCGCCATATGTGCACTTTGTAGCGAACGCGCAAGAACTGCCCCGAAAGGCGTGTGTGTACCTGTGGTACTTGGCTGTGTACGTGTCTGCCATGTCGGCGGCGGTGGCGGTCGCGATGGCGCTGGTTGGCCTCGTTGCCAAGTTGCAAGTGGACGGAGCAACCAACTTGTTTGCGTACAATCGCATCGGCGGAAGCGTCTGGATCGGCCGCCCGCTCATGTTTATTCGAGGCATGACGGCGGTGATCGTTCTGAGCACGGCCACGCCCACGCTGCATGTAGTCAATTATGTGACATCGTTTGTCCAGCCCGCGAGGCCATTGGTCGAGACGCTGCTCTTGGCCAGCGAAACCGTGTGGCTGCAGTACGTGCTCAACGATGCATTGCTGCCCGTGACCCAGCCGCACTCGAAAGAGTATGCGATTCTTGGCAGCCTAGTCGGGTTTTTCATGGTTGTGTATATGGAACTCACGGCGCCGTACGTTGCGCAGACGACGATCCATCGATCGTGTGCAATTGCGAGCTTTCGCCGGGGAATCAAGTGCACCAGTGGGGAAATCGCCATCGGGAGCTTTGACCGGGTCTGCGCTGTGATTGAGATCCACATAGGGTGCGCTGTATGTGCCTACGTGGTCGTTCGATTGGCTAGACATATATTATTGGTTTCAAAACCGGCCAAGACCAGCCATCACGCGTTGATTCCGGCCGCCACAGAAGCCTACTGCTCGCCAGAGGCAACCGACCCCACGGCGTGGCACTTGGACGCCATGACGTGTATCATGTCAGGGATGGTTCCACTGCGAAAAAGCCTCTTTGACTTTAAAACGTGGGCCGTAGTTCCAGGCCATCGGACCACCGGCCATACCTTTGCCGTGTCAACGTTGGTCGTGCCATGTCCTACTACTAGTAGTACTAGTAGGTCTCCATCGTTTCGAACTCGACACGCGTGGCTGGGGGGGCTGAGTTTGCTGTACATGACCACGTCGATCGCGGGCAGTTATACGTTTCTGGAGCTGACCAAATCGGCCATGACCAACGACTTTTGGTGGGCGTCGTTCGATGCACAGACCCACGTGTACGTGTGCAACTGGTTCAACACGATGCTGCAAGTGACTGCCAGTTCCACAGCCAACGTCCAAATCCTCTCGGCTGGCCACGGCGCCCTGGCGTCCACGACCAACCTCACGGCGTCGGTGGTCGGGGTGTCTCCGCTGTACGCGATTGCCGTGCAAGACGACGCGAATTCGCTGTCAAATGTCATTCTAGGGCTGCGAAACATGGACGGATGCCTGGTTCCTTGGATCATGACGTCGTACTGTTATGTGGACTTTGGCCGACGATGGGAGATAGCGCCCTCCGTCGCCAAACAAGATCGGTGCTTAGTAGAAGACGTACAGAACGGTGCCGTGTACTTGGACTCGATGCTGCGGAATGCCGACTTGGCCAGCTTGTCGCGATGCTGGGGCGATGCGCTGGACATTGGGGTCTTTTCGCATGTTCGAACCAGCGTCGACGGGCTGGCGTGGCTCGAAAGTGTGCGTATGGCCGCCTCTACGACTCCAGTCGAAGAAGAGGAGCGGGTGTGGAGGCGCTACGGAATTGCCAAGTACACGACGCAGTGGCAAAACTTCAAAGCCCTGGGCGTGATCGAGTCGTTTTCGATCCAAAACGCGTTTGGGTGGAGCTACCCCATCACGTTGAAAGTGTCCAACGGGACGTTCCAGCTGCCTGTGCAGACGTCGTTCAAGATGGCGTGGCCCCTGGCATGGGATTTGTCGCTGATCGTGGCCAATGCGAGCGTGTTATCCCACAAGAGTCTGCTTCGCCGTAGCAGCAACTTTGCGTACGCCAACATGAGCTTGGACATGATGTCGTCTGAGTTTGTGCCTCGACCGATGGGGCCAGGGATGGCCATGGTCGAATCGGCGCTGGGTCCATTTGGCTCGGTCAAGATGAAGCGCGAGGCGTGTCCGTCGTCGCTTCGGTCGTTGTACCAGCAAATCACGGCCCAGCTAAAGCAACGACTTGGCACGGAGGCTGCGATTCAGACCGCGTTTTGGCCGATTTACTACTCGTTCACGATGCAACCAGTGATGAATGTGTGGGCAAGTATGAGCGAACGAGGCGGCGATATCCTGTGTGAGATGGACCCGAACTTCCAGCCGGTGGACGACCGCGCCGCCGTGTCGTTTAGTTATCGCGGGCTGTGCGGCGTCCGGCTCCAGGACACGCTCACGGGGGACACGGGGGGGCTGATTAAAGCCATCGTGGCCACCTCCGACTTGAACGCGACCGCCGCCGCCGCCCTGGAGCGGTACTCCCCCGACACGTCCATGCGCTTGATCGCGTCTGCCCAAGCATTTACCACAGCGGCGTTTTCAATACAAGAGCTCACGACCTTGCAACAACTAGCGCAGTCGGTTCGCCTCGAGTTTCGGCAGGCTGTTTTGAACCTCACGATGGTGCAGTTCATCGTGCGTCGGGCGTCGGGTGGTCCTCCACCAGCCGATGCCGCCAAGTTGTCGACTGTGAATGTGTTTGACGAGTCAGAACGGAACTTTGAACTGTTTGCGTGGCTGTACTTGTTTGATTGGGTCCAGGGCATAAGGGAAGTCGTGACCTTCCAAGGCGACGTTGGCGCGATCACGTCCATGTCGACAACCACCGTGTACACGGAGATGCCGGTAAACCCGATGGAAGTGCCTTTGAATGTGGCGTTTTACATGCGCTGGTTACTGCAGTACATCACGTTTGTCATGCTGGGCGTGGCGGTCGTCGTGTGCGTGTACATTGTGGCTCTCAAAGGCCAAGTGGAGGCCGCCAACATGACGTCGTTCAGCCGCGTGGCGTCGCTAGTATGGATCGGCCGGCCACTGATCTTATTACGGGCGTTTTGTGCTATTTGTCTGCTCTCGACGTCCTCTCTGACACTCTCACGTCCTCTGGACGGTCTTGTGTCGTTCTTGAAGTGTGATTCCAAGCCCTGGTATATGGTCATTCTCACCGCGGGCGAGCTCAACTGGATGACGTACATCATCAACGACGTGTGCTCGGTGTTTACGCACCAGTACACGCAAAAGTACTCGTGGGCGAGCTTTGTGGTGGTGTGGGCGGCGTCGGCTGTGTGGGAGTTTGCAGCTCCGGTGGCCTACTCGGTGGTTGTGGACAGGGTGTGCAGAGTTGACCAAGTGGACTTTGAGGTGGTGTGTCGAGGTGGGACGATTGAAATCGGCAGCGTCCGCCGGTTTACGACGTTGATTGGACTCGTATTTGGGTACTGCGCCGGGAGCTTTGCATTTGTGCGGTGGTGGTTTCCCCACATGACAACCACGTCCAAGACGTCGTCCGTGTTCCTGTACACGTGTGCCAAGCACCAGTTTGTTGCGGCCAAGTGGGAGCTTGACGGCACGCAGTACCTGGACAAGGCGTCCGCCGTCCTCACGGGTCTCCTCTCGGTGCAATTTCGCCATGTCCTGTACCTGTTTGACATCAAGACGTGGCGCGTCTACACGATTCCGCTGGCCACACTCGACACCATGGATCGAAATCTACCGCCCCATCTTGCTGCGGCGCTGCCTCTGATTGAAGATGACTGACAAATGTGGTGGCTTGTTTATTGTCCGACATACTGCTATAGTACATGTTAATAGCGTCAAACGGTCAATGAGATTGGGCTTGTTGACAGCGAGGGCAAATATTGATATGGGGTTGCGGTCGTGGTAAATTGATACAAGGGAAATCGTGCATAGCGTAAAAGTTCAGTTTAAGAACACTAAAGGCATGTAACTTGACTCATGTATAGGTTAAAAACGGCATTTCTAGGAATTATTGATTGGCTAATTCGCGTGCGCACCTTAAACTGGATCGAGCACCTTAAATTGGACTTTTACGTTAACTGTTGCTTGGGATGAATTAGAGGTGTTTGGTAATTCCCTCTGACAAAATTCAATTACTACGTAGTATTGCATTTGATTCGCCCATGGAAGTTCCGAGGTCTTCTAGTCAAGTGACACATATGTGTATTTGATTCGATACGGATGCCGTGAATATTTTGTAAAATACGCGTCATTTCGAGTCACTGGAACAGCTTGGCGTGTTTATCCGGAAAGGTGGCACCAACATTTTACTAGTACTTCAAAGTTGACAACACTAAAAGAAAGGCAACGAAGACACTGCCGAGCATGAGCGACGTGAAAAACGTGGGAGTGATCGGTCTCGGCGTGATGGGACAACGCATGCTGCGACTTCTCCACAATCAGCCGGTGCTTCGTGCGACGTATGTCTGGGACGCCAATCCGTCCGCTGTGCAGTCCACGCTGGAGGCATACCCTGAACTCAAAGCCGCCGCCAGCGCCGCTGACCTCATCCAACAGCAAGGGTTGCACTCTTTGTACATCGCAACCCCCCCGGCCGCGCACATCGACCTCACTAACCAAGCCTTGGACCGCGGCTTGGCCGTGTTGTGCGAGAAGCCATTGAGTACCGACGGCGCTGCTGCCAAGGCGACGGTCGAGCGTATTGCCGCTTCTGGTGCTCGCACGGGCGTGAACTTTCCTCTCGCGACCGCACAAGGCCTTTCCCTGGCTGAATCCCTCTTTGGAGAAAACAAACCCCTCGGCGTCCTCCAAAATGTGTCCGTCGACGCTGCCTGGTTGCAGTGGCCGCGGCAGTGGCAACAAGGTGCCGGCGCGTGGTTGGCGGAGCGACACGAAGGCGGATTCACGCGCGAAGTGTTGTCGCACTTTGTGTTTGCAATCCAGCGAGTCGTGGGGCCACTTACCCTACTCCAGAGCGCCGCTACTTACCCGGAGGCATCCAATCTGGCGGAAACCGACCTCAGCGCTCGACTGACTGCAACTCGCGACAATGCGACCGTATCTGTGTCCATCGAAGGGCATGTGCGCGGAGACATCCCGTGCTACAACCAAGTCCGCTTGGAGGGCGCGAACGGAACGCTGGTGCTCGGGCGCTGGTTCAGTGAGGTCCAAGTGCTGCCAAGAGACGGCAGCGACTTCCCAGTGGACAAGACGGATCGCGATGATCTCGACTTGGCGTCGCACTGGGCCGCGCTTGTGGACGGCCAGCCGCATACGCTGTCGAGTTATGCGGAAGCGTTGGGCGTTCAACAAACCATCGAAGCCATGCTGCAAGGAAAGAAGTAATCAACTCAATTGAGTGTGTACTAACAGTAACGTTATAGTAATGGACATTACTTTATTTGTCGTAGTCCTGTACTAAGACTTGCAATACAATACAAAATATAATTCTATTAGAGTAGGTTACAATGGTAATAAAAAAAGTATTTATAAAAATACTACTAAGTACAGTAGAATACCACTTCGAAGTATTTGTTTCGACATAACATTATTAATAGTAAAAAAATACTACTAGTAGTAATACTGATTTGATTTACTGTTATTGAATAGACAGTGCAGAAGTATACGTATAGGTTGGAAAGTCCGACAGTGCACTACTGTACAGTGGTACATCCCTGAAGGTTGAGTAGAGTAATAGCCAATCCCAACACTTGATTTTGTATACTTAGATTTGATTGGCGAATTGGAATGCAGGTTCTGAATTCGGCACTTGATTCTACATGCGCATTTGACATGAGTTCGGTTGAGGTGAAGGAGAAGGTGGAAGTGACGTCGTCTCCGGTGGATACGGTGCCACTGGTATCGCAAGCCAAGTCGCTCTTCCAAGCTCTGGGGGGAGATGTGAAGGGGGCAGCCCAGACGCAAGATAACTTCACCAAGGGGTGCCCCGTCGTGTCGCAGGCAAGATCCCTCGTGGAAAGCACGATCCTTCGCGATCCCGCGGCGGCGGCCAAGACCCAGAAACACTTTATGTCGTTCTCCCTCGACCACTGCATTGGTCTCTCCCAGGCTAAGTCCCTCGTGCAGGTCATCTGTGGCGATACCGCCGGCGCTCTTCAGACGCAAGACAACTTTACACGCGGCTGCGCCGTCATCTCGCAGGCCCGCTCTCTGGTTGAAAGCACCATCCTGCGCAACCCCGAAGAAGCGTCCAAGACCCAACAGTATTTCTTCGGCAAGAAAAGCAAGGCGGCCGAAGCCCCACCGGACTGCCCGTTGCCCAGTCTGGAATGCGTCGTGTGCCTCACAGGCACCAAGACCGTGCTGCTCCTGCCGTGCAAGCACCTATGCCTGTGTCAAACGTGTTCGGCCAACGTCACCGACCTCTGTCCGCTGTGCAAAGCCCCCATCGAATGCAAAACCAGTGTCTTTCTCTAACTTAATAGATGCACATACATACAGTAGTAGTACCCTACAGACGATCACCCTGGCAAGATATCTGTCGATTATTCTTCATTCGAATGTATGGATACTACGAATTTATTCACACTGTGAATAAATACGTCAGTACATATATATATATGTATAGCTAGCTTTGCATGCCGATGTAACTTAAGACATTTGAATCGACTTTTTCAACAAGACACGCAATACATATGCACTTGTGTACGTATAATATTAATAGTATTATTACTACATACCACGACTACAATATAGAATTATATATCAGATTCGTCGACAATATTTACGGGCTACACGTTGTCTTCGTCCGAGTCGTGGTACAATTTCCCAGGTTTGAGTTTGTACGGATTGTTCACCTTGCTCTTGTCCTTCTTGTCAGCTTTTGGTTTCGGAGGCTGAGACGCGTTCATGCTAAACAGCGACACTTCCGTGTCCACAAAGGCGGTTTGTCTGGTGTTTTCCTGCAGAAACGCCCGCGCTTGGGTTTTGTGAAACGCTCGCTCCTCCAGCGTACTCTTGGCAGCGGACGCCAGCCCCGACTGCACCCTCGCCTCTGCCATCGTCGACATCAACGGCGGACCTGTCAGTCGCAACGGGGATACCCTGGCTTGAGTGGTGGCTGCGGCCGGATCTTTAGTCTCGTCGATGGTGTCGTCTGCCGCTGCAATATACACTCGTTTGGTCAAACGAAGCGGTGCGAGCTGTCTCCTTTGAGGCGATGGCGGCGATTTGTCGACAACCATCGACAGCGCTGGCCCTTTGACACGCAGAGGCACGAAGACTGCAGGCGATGGCTGGGTCCCAGTCAAGCCACTGTTGCCGCAGCACTCCAATCTGTGACTTGCTTGGTCCCGAGCTTGGGTTACGATATGGCACGCTGGACATTCGATTGGACGCAACGCACACTCGGTGCGCTCGTGCGTGTCGAGCGTCCGCACCGTCAACCCCGAAACCCCGCAGCCCAAGCGACAGGTTACGACCTTGGCCGAGCACTCTTCGGATTCCTGGTGCTGGCGCAGTTTGTGCTTCAAGATCATACGGCCGCAGGGGCATAGCACAAGGCGGCACTGGCTGCTTTCGTGCCCCACGAGGCCCCTAGCTTGGACAAAGAGGCCGCAGCCAGGATTCCGGCACTGCACCATGCGGTGCGAGCAGTCGTGCGCCAAATGGGTCTGGCGACTGGCCAGCGGAACATTCTGCCCGCATTGACACACTTCACTGGCTTTGTCATCATCTTCGTCCGAGAAGGGAAGCACAACCATGTCAATAGATGGGCCGATGGGGACGATGTTGGAGGAATCGACGTCACGATGGTCGATGGCCGATGGCATGTCAATGTAGTTGGAGGGGAATAGGGCGTGGTCTGGGTGTTGGACTGGCACCGGGCCAACCGACGGCCCCGTGCGCACCACCACAACCGTACGTTGCTTTTGCTCCTCTGAATTGTCGACGACGGCTGTCGACGGATCGTGCAGTTTGTCCCACGTTTGCAGGTATTCCACATGTGCTTGCGCGTCCATTTCAGCCGCCAGGACTTGAGTGGAAGGTGGGCCACTTGTGCTACTGGACTCAGGATCCAGGTCGCGGCGAACCCGTGCCAACGCTTCGTCCACGACGTCCACCTTCTTGTCCTTCTTTTGGGCTTCGGGGTTTGCAATTGGAACCGCCGACGCTTTCTTCCCGCGAAGTTTGGCGACTCCCGCAACCCCCACGGCGGCCGCGGCGCCCAAGACAAATGTCTCAGCACTGAGCGCTTCAAAGATGCCCGTGTTGGCTAAGAGAGCGGTGGCCAGAACTGGCATGATGCCCATCTTGAAAAAGATCATGATGGGGTCGCTCACCACCCACGTCATAACCAAACCCGTGACGATCGATCCGATGAACACGTTGGCCAAGTCCCCGCCAATCGTAAACGCAAACTGCAGGACAAACCAGCCGGCAAACCCGTCGATGCATGCGCACATGACGTACAAAACGTAGTTGACCCAGTCGGGGAAGAGCGGTTTCGGAAGTTTCTGCGGCTGCCGACGCAGGAATTGGTTGTACAAGAGCCGCGACGTCATTCGGAGATTCTGGAGCTTTTCCTTTTCCTTGAGAAACAGCTGCCGTTCGTGCAGTGGCATCGCCGCCAGTTGCTTGGACTCCTTGGCCGCTACGTACAGTTCGAACCGCTTTTTCCACCGCTGCAGTCCGTTCAAGTTGGCCAGCACGGCGCGAAGGTCGGCTTTGGCTTGCTTTTGCATTTGTTTTCGCTGGAGTGTGAGCGATTTCTGGGCTTCCTTGCGGATGGTGCGAGCTTGGGTCATATGGCGTTTAGTCTGATACACAACCACCTAAAGAGTCGCAGGATATCATTAGTTTAGCATATTCGTGTATTCTTCTTACCTTGACTTGATCTTTCACAGCACGAAGCGCCGCGGTCTTGTGGTCATTCGAGCTGGATCGAGACAACCGGGTGATGCTTCGCCGAGCCAACGACTTTGTTGTGGACATGTGTTGGGAAAGTTGAGATTTGAGCAATTGCTTGGTGGCGATGAGTTCTTCGTTGGCCTGGCGAATCTGATCTTGGGCGTTCCGCAATACCGCCACCGCATCGCTTTGAAAGCACTCGGCGCATTCGTGGAACTTGCTGCAGAATTCCAGCAACGCTTTGCAATTCCGGAGTTCAACTACGTCAAACGGCAGGGTTGGAACGGATACCTTGAGCTGACCGGTGCCAGCATTGGTCTCGACGGCGAGTTGAGCAATGGCATCGGAAGTCAAATGTGTGGGCTCCAACTTCATCACCGCATTGTGCAAGTCTTGGTTGCCCCACATCGCGAGAAGTTTGGCCATGGCGTCATGTTCACTCAGTCGTGGCAGAACGACTTTTTCAGCTGCTTTGTCGACAGAGGATGGGTCCTCAATTGCCACGGTTGACTTGCGGGGGGCTTTGAACAAGGATGACATGCGCTTCCTTTTCTGGTGGTCGGTGGATTTTACCACAAGAGCAGATTCGTCGGGGGAAGATTCTGGTTGAATCCAAACGTCGTGGCCGTGCAAGACGAGGAAGAGAGCGCGAGATAATGGGCCGATCAAGGGACCGTCGAGGCCGTCGCGCTGCAGCCACCGAAGACACAGCTGGAATGAGCTTGGGTCGATTCCGTTGGAAAGCGTCTGCAGGTCCATGCGGAGGACGTCGAACTTGGTGTACTCGACTGGGTTGCCGTACGCGTCGACTTGAACTTCGATGACGTTGTCCGAGTCCTCCAGTTGGTACCGTACCATGTACTCATGCTTTTTGGCCGACTTTTTGAACAAAATCACAAACGCTAACGTCACGGGCATCATGAGCACAGACGACACGAGTCCGCTGACGAGCATCGTGCCAATGTTGGGTTCAAGTTGGCGGAGACGGTAGAGCACCGCGTTGATCAGCATCTGGCTCATGATGGTCGTAAAGATGATCATCAAGCGTTGGGGTCTACATCGCATGGTGAGTACATGTGATGTATACTATAACGAAAGTACCGCGTAAAGTCGGGATCGTAAGTCAAGAAGATGGACAGCAATTGGTGCTTTCCAGACATCCCGGCCCAGAATTCACGCACCAACGCTTTCATTTTTTCCGTCTTGGTCTTGGCGTTGACGACTTTGGGTAGTTGGAACAGGTTGTTCATGTCCACTTTGGTGCCTTCCACAAGCTTTTTCTGTTGTTGCGAGTACCCCACAGCGTCCAATCGATCCCGTCGCATGCCATAAAGCAACCCGGCGGCATACAAGATGAAGAACACGCCCATAGTCACGACGACTTGGAGGTTCTGCTTGACATCTTCCAAGGTCGTTTTGTGCGTAAACACCGCTACGACGTTGTCCTCGACGGCGTGCAGCGCTTGGTTCATTTGCGAAGAAAAGTCGGTCAAGTGGTTGCATTCGCATACAATGTAGGCTGGATCGGGGTCCTTCACCTGGACACATCCTTCTGACGACCACGCTCCTTTCTATATAGAACGGTGAATCATAGCAACTAATAGATTCACACATACCGAAATATCCCAATACCGACACATTTGCACTGGAATGTACTGCGGACACACGTAGGAGACGGTGTAGTTATTCGTGCCATTGCAAGATATGACTTTGAACAATTGATTCGTCAAGTCGCACGTGATATTTTTCACCACCGGCTGGTTCACAACGCACTGCACCGTGCCATTTAGTGGCTTGGACGGCATCTATCACAATATAACATCCACAGGTCAGAACTGGTGAAAATGAGTTGGTACACATGTACCGGGTATTGTTTGTTGTTTCGCATGCGAATGGTAACCCCTTTGGACAAGTTGGCCACGGGCATCGGAGTGTCGCCGCACTTTAAGTTCAAGCCCATCACGGCCGAGTTGATGACAGTGGCGCTTTCGTCGCCGTAGAGATTACTCGCGTACAACGCCGCGTGGGTGTCGACACTCGCACATCCCCCGTAGGTTGAAAAGTTGTCTGGAAACCCAAACGACGGACTCGTGTAGTTGCGCTTAACTTGTTCGACAGATAACGGCAATTGCACGATCGCTTTGGCGATGGCGCTGGCGTCGTGCCTTTGCAAAGTGAGTTTCAAGTTCTTGGTGTTCATTTGCACCGCAGCTTCTCCTGGCTCGTGGTCACTGAGCATGGAAGTAGCTAGCAGCGACACGGTGTTGCCAACACGAGTGCTCTTGGTATCTTGAGCATCCAGTCGTCGCCTTTGTTGTGTAGAAGTCGTCGCAACGGGCGGTGCGTCCAGCAGACTCGAAATGGATTGTCCGACTGCAGTGGTGGTAGCGGGGGATAACGTCACCGACGACGACGACGTTAGAATGCTGGCCACCAAATCTAAAGCTTGGGATTGCTGCGTGGGACTCAGCACGGCCACGTTGGCAGTGATGGACGCCACAGCAGAACTCTGCTGTTCCAGCGCCTGGGGCGTCGGCTCGACGTTGGCATTGGCCATGACCATCGAATTGAGCAAACTGCCCAGCATCTTTTGCTTCTTGTCGTAGTCTTCCTGCGACGTGTTGCAGTCGGTGCCGTACCACGACGACCCGCATGTACAGATGGCCGTGCACTCTAAAATGTCGTCGCTGCACTGCGGTGGGTTGTTGGTACAAGTCCCGTGTCCGGAACAAACGGTGCCAGAAATAGCAGTCGAGCAGCGCTTGGGGGGACGGGTTGGTGCCGGAGTGGGCGCTGGCGATCCGGCGCTGTCCGTTGGTGCGGGGACGTACGTTGTTGGCTCTGGTGTGGATTCTGGTGTGTCTGTGACGTTCGCAGCCGTCGAAGGCGTCACCATCATGGACGCCAGGATGTTGACCATGTTCAGAACTTTGCCGGGGTCGTTGCTGGCCGCCAAGTTTTCCAACTGACTGGTTTGATTCTGCAGGAATGCAGCTTGTTCAGCGTCGTTGTTATACGTGGGCAAGGTGACTTGCACCGTCGTAATCGACTGAGTCGTGTACCCAAGTGCATCGGCAATGTAGCTGACGATCGTAATCGTGTTGTTGGGCCCGCCGCCCGTGGGGAACACCGTGTCAAACGACGTGGTTAACGAGTAATCACTCAGTGTGACTTGGGGGGCGTCGACGGAGTACTCGCCCACAATGTACTTGAAGCTGAATTTCAGAGGCAAGTCCTCATCCACCCAATCCGTGCACGAAATGTGAAACGACGTGGCCAGGGTGGTCCCAGCTGCGGGTGATACCTCCACCTAAAAAAGTGTCAATACTCCATATACTTGAATTAGATATCGTACAGTGCCACTTGTCGGCGCTTCGTTCATCGTGATGGACATGGTGGCGGTGCTGACTTGGTCGAATTTGTCCTTGCCAGTCAGCACAAACGAATACGATCGACCGGGTCGCAAGGTATTGGGGACCAACACCATACGAAGTGATGTCTATACCAGACATACAACATGTGAAATAGCGATCGTTAAGGGAGGTTTTGTTTTTCGACGTACCACAGGGAGGCCAAACGTCGAGGCGGCAAGGGAGCCGTCGGAGTCGCCGTCAATCGACCATTGGGCAGCCGGTTGGGTGTCCAACACGCTGGTCACACTCCCCGCGAGAACGATTTTCGCGTCTGGATTGAACTTTGTGGTAGCCAGCGACAGGATTTTCGTGATCGGGGGATTGCCCAACACGACAGTAAGACTCACGATGGCATTCGACTGCCGACCAGTTGACGGATCGGATACGGTCAGCGTGATCAAGAGGGTCGCCTTGGGGGGCAAGTAGTCACGGGGGACGGTGGTCACGTCGCCATTATCGATGTCCAAGCCGTTGCAACTGGTCCGGCCAGTCGAAAAGTCTGTGCACGTCCACGTGTAACTCAATTCTGTGGTAGAATTGTCTGGGTCGAACGACGTCGTGCCGTTCAAGAGCAGGTCGTCCACGTTGCCGATGGTTCGATTCCCGCCTACAATCACTGCGACTAGGGGCGACGGATTGACCTGCACGAGGACGCTGGCCGTATTGTTCACTTCGGGGGTGTCTGCCATAAACACCAACACCGTGGTAGCGTAGGATCCTCGGTCAAGCTTACTCAATTTGAGGTTTCGGGGGTTTCGACTTTCTGACACCACGGGGACATTGTTGAGAGACCAGAGGAAACCCATGGACGGATTCGTTGTCGCGTCTCCACAGGTCGACACCATCGCCACGGAAGACAACTGAAGCGTCTGAGACCGCAACAATGACACTTGCGACGGCCCTTCGATGTACACAGATGGCAGCGGCATAGACGCTTTGGTCACGACGAGGTTGTCGGACGTGGCATTCATGTTGAAGAAGTTCGTGAGGGTCAAAGTGACAGTGTACACCCCGCCATACGCAAGCAAGTCGGACGGAATGGCTATGGACTGGTTGGAAAGGCCCATGTCGTCCAACAAACCAGGCGGATCAATCGTCCACTGCCACGTCATTTGACGCCCGCCAGAACCCGACGACGCTTTTGCGTTCAAAGCCAACCCATCGCATGATCCTGTATCAACAAGTCAATCCCCATATTAAATCACCAAGATTGTAACGATTGAGTTAGTGTGTGTACCAAGGTTGAGCGCGCCAGACACACTGATTCGAGGCACGAGGGGTTTTCGAGGCAGATCCACTTGAATCCAAATGGACGCCATCGACAGCACCGCGTCGGGTGTGGACTTAAGCACGTTTCCATTCAATCCAACAAAATCTTTGGGTAAAACAAGAGGAGATTTCCCTAACACCACGCGAATGGTCTTTGTGTTGGGCCACGAACACAGGGGGCTGTCACCGAAAACTCCCGCCACGGTCACGTTAAACACCAAACCGCATGAGAAATTCGTCGCGCCGGTAAAGTTGGTTTGGTCCACGGCTCGGTTGAACATCACGAGCAAGTCGGCGCCAGTGTCTCCAAAGTAAATTTGCTGCACCATGGGGGCTGGCGTCCGGTCGGCCGTCTCAATCGTCCGCAGCGCCACGTTAAACATGGCCAGTTTTGCATACAACGGATCGTCCGATGCAACGGTGTGCGTAATCCACCTAGTAGAATCGTGGTCTTAGAGATCAAATTGATGGAAATGGATAGAACAAGTCAACATACGTGTCGACGGTGCCTTGTTTGATGAAATCGTCGGTCGCATTGACGGTGATGGCTTGTCGAATGTTCCAGTCATCTGGTGTAAACGTCAAGGTGGACGGAAACACCCCAACTCGCACTTGGTCACACGAGAGGGAAATCGTGACCAATGCAAACGGAATGGTCGTCAACCGGATCGAGTAGCTATCCCCAAACACTCCTTCAGCCACGACCAGCTGAATGGCCTTGTTGGTTTGAGGCCCCGCGATGTCCACGCCAGACACATCCGGGTCTTGAATCACCAACGGAATTGTCCGGGCAGGGTCCACTTGACTGAAGAATGGATCCGAAGTTTGAATTTGCACCGAGCAATTCACGGTCAAGTCGCCATGGTCAACATAATCACGGGTAGTGGCTAACGCCACATTCCACGGATTGGTGTCGACCACGGTGGTATTTGTGGCGCTGAGTTCCACTCGTTGCCAGAAGTCGGAGCATGTCAACAGGAGGGTCACGGGGGCTTGGGAGGGAGATTTCAACGCAACAGAAAGCAGTATTCCCTGGCCTTCGACAATGGAAGACGCGTTGAAGTCGACGGAAATACCAGCGACGTACAACGTCTGGTCAACGGACGTGGTCGCTGACGTGTTGGACGACGGAATGCGATGGATGGCACTGAACGTCACGTTGTAAATCCCGCCTGAGCCCATGACGAGGGCCGTCGGCGGAATTTCCAGCAGAACATTTGGCGTCACTTTGAGAACCGTATTGTTGAGTTTCAATGATAAACCCAATTGCAGGACGCGAAGATACAGCTTCATGGTTTCCAGCGGCACGGTTCGATTCTGAACAAACGGAACGAATTGGGTAATAGACAGATTGGACCATGTGTTTGGGGCGCTGGGTACGACCGACGGGGCCAAAAGGACGGGGGGATACGCCACGGGTACAATTTCCACGCGAATACTGCGGGATGTAATCGCTTTATCTCTTGGGCTGGCAGTTTTGTGCTGAACGGTTGCGTTGACAACAACATCAAACACTCCAAACCAGAACGGAACTGTTTGCAGCGAAAATGGCTGGTTCGGCACAAGGTTGACGGGTTGGACGGTTGCAATGTTGTTGGGCATCGACGAGAATACAGCCATGCTCAGGTTTTCCATGGCGGAAGTAACCCCCACGGTGGAATTCAACACCACGGATTCCGTTTCTAGAAATTTGGACTTGGAGGCAAATAGTTGCAAAGACACCGCAGTGGCGGTGGGAATGACCGTCACGCTCCATGAATACACCGTGTCGACAGAATTCTGGGACTCTCGAACAATACTCCGCACGACGAGGGCAAACCGTAGGTCGCCCACAAATCCCGCACGGGGAACGACTTCCAACTGCGTCCACGGCAGGAAAAATGTCGATGGTTTGGCCAGAATCTCCACTACTGCTAGGGCGCTGCCACCAGAATCGACAGACACATTTACGCTGGATTGGTTGTATCGCACCAGCTGAATATGACTGGCGTTCATAGTCGCAAAGAAGCGAAGGTACTGATTTCCAGTCGTGTCTGGACTCTGGACTTGAAACCGGCAAGCAATGGATTCGTTCCAATACACGTACCACGCCGGGAAAAACACGGAAATGTTTCGAAGAGGTTCGAGTTGCATGGTCGGGGCCACGGGTTGTGACACCACCAGCACCGTGGTTCCAACGATTCGTGTGGCGGTGGACACTGTGAGGCGAGACGAAGATGATGCTACCTCGGTCGAAGTGGCGACGGCGAAGTACGATTTGTTGCTCGTCTCGTATTGTGGCCATTGCAGCGTGAGTGGCGACGCATACTTGGCACTTGTTTTGGCATCCACGACCATGATGTCGTCAAACGATTGAGGGGCGAGGACGACGCTGGTTTTCGTTGCGTTGACCACCACGGTCGACGATGCATTGGAAATCCAAGGCACGGCTGCCAGGGGAAAAATGCGAACGTCAAACGCTACTTGGTACCCCCCACCACTTTGCAACGAAAGGTGGAACACGCCGACGTACGCACTGGACACTCGCAATTGAATGGCGGATTGCAGGACGAGATACAGTCGCAACGGGCCTTGCGGGCCGAGATATTTCAAGCCCACGGTGCCAGACACTGGGATCACACGAGGGAGTGACAATTGGACACTTGTTTGAGCCGCGATGGAAATCGCCATTGTGGACCTGGATGGCAAGCTTAACTGCGCCGTGAACGTCTTGGGCTTGACCAAGATGTTCACTTGGGTAAGACCGTCGTCGCCGACAACGTACACCGTCTGGAGTCCAGAAAAATGGAATTTGTTCTGGATGTACACCGTGGTCACATCTTTGGACATGTTGTAGCTCAACACTGTTGTGTTTACCAACGGCTGGGGTCGTCGCGACTGGCCACTGATCCAAACTTGACTCAGAATGTCGCCATCCATATCCCAGAGTTGGCTGGCACTGGCCAACGGAATTGGAATCAACGCATCTTCTTCGCTTTGAATCGACAGCACATTTGCAATCGACATGTTGGGTACAATAGTGAGTGCAATGTGTCGAATGGTAGCCAATTTCGTCGCGGGTTCAGTGCTCGACACGAACAAGTCGATCTATCATGAAAAAGGTGCAAATATGAATGGACGTGTATACGATTGTAAGAGTAATAATCATGTACCATAAATGGTCGTGTGAGGTTCTGCACCAACAATCCCTGCAGTTGCCAAGTCGATTGGTTGGCCGACGACGCATTTACAGTGTATTGGTTGACGGTGTCGTTGGTGGATTGCAACATCCACCCGGGGCTCCAAAGCGACTCAACCGATTGCGATGGTACTGATATAGTCACAACGAGCTGGTCGTTTGGATCCAGCGGTGTGATTTTCACTTGGAAAGCAACGTAGGAAGCAACGGAGAGATAAACTTTAGGCGCAATGTCCACAAGCGGCAACGTTGGCAACGAACGCACGACCACTTGGATGGGTATTGATTGATTCGAACTGGCCCGGCTCAATGGGATCGCGGTGACTGTAAAGGGTAAAATGCCAGTCGTGTACTTGACAAGCGTCACCACAAACGACCCATTTCGCAAGGAATCGCCGGCTAAAATCACGGTGCTTTCTGCGCTTCGTGTAATGGATCCATTGGACCAGGAGATGTTGGCACATAACTTTGGAGGACAATCTAGCACGACACTTGCCACGTTGGCTTTGTCTGCGATGATGGGAAGGACAAATGGAGTTCCTTCGTCCAGTTCAAAGTAGGTTTGGGGAAGTTGGACCAGAGGAAGCGTTTGGGCTAGCTGCACTGCAACGGACATGAGTGCGGTGAAATTTGCCCCTTCCAATGGGTCTGTCACCACGGCCTGAATCGAGCAAGAAAAATTCACCGTTGGTGGCATTGGTTGCCATACAAGTTGAATACCCATCGAATTCACTGGGCCAGACAACTGCACTTGATACCCGTCGAATGCCGTCGTAAACACATTGGCTCGCGGTAGCGACACTTGCCACTGATCTCTCGTTTGAGTGACTTTTCGTAGTACACCGACTGGACATGTCACGTACACATCCAGTTTCTGGGACGGATCTGTCAGGGCCACGCGCTTGATGAACACCCAAGAAGTCCCCTGAATACTACTGGACAATCGGGTGGGAGTCACATCGAGTTCTGGTGGTTGGGGGATGCCTTGGACATAGAGCGTCGTTTGGTCCACTGCGGCACTGCACAGCAGTGATTTCTGACAGCAAGTTTCAAAGCCTTGGGGGGTTAGCACGGAACCAAGACATGGCAACGGGGTATTGATCGAAGTGATGGTAAGCGTGGACACGTTCATGGAGCCAGACAAGTATTTTCGGGGGGTGAGAACCACGGATTGATTGAGCCTCGCCACAAAACCTGGTGTCAGGGGACAATATAGACGGGAGGACACCACCGAGCAGGTCAAATTGGCCACGGACGCAATATCTGACGTCTCCAGAATCAAAATCGTACGAGACGCTTGTGTATATCCTGTGGCCATAACAGAGTCCACGGCAACAAGTAACTGGATGACGTCATTTTCTCGAAGCACCGTCGTTGCTGTGACTTTGGCAAGTAGTTTGGACGCCACGGGGAGAATGGTTCCGTTCCAATCCGAGGTCGATATTGCAAATGTGTCGTACGCAGAACTTGTCAGCGTACAAGTAACTGTGATCGCCCCAGAAAAGTACCGCGTTGGCGTGAACGCAAGCACGGATACAGATTGCGGCATGCCCAGACGAAATTGAGTTGGCGTCAACATTGTCGCTTGATTGTTCAAGTGGAGCAACGCTCGTGTTGAACGCCACGTCCAACGCCAATATGCCTTGATGCATGTCCAGAGGATGCAGGGCGGCGGATACGTTGACGAACACCGTGTTTGTCGCAAAAAACAATTGCGAAGGGTCGGACACGACAGTGAGGGACGGCGGCGAAGCTTGCAACCAATTCAAGACGAGTTGGGTGGACACGGCCATTGTTTGTGCGTCGGGGCATAACGAGTAGACGATGAGATTCACCACTTGCCTGGATATGTATGTGGGAGGAGGCTGAATGGTAAGTGGCTGCTGACGGATGCTGCTTACGTTGGAGGTCACAACGTTCTGGTACCATTGCCCTCTGAATCGATACCCGGGTATATCTGGTAGATGCAGTTGAAGGATACAAGGCGGTGGTACGGTGGCTTCCAAAATGATCAACGTTGCGGTGGACCGATACGAAGCAGACAACGTGGTTGAAAACAATATCACGCTTGGTGGAGATGGTAATGGGACTTGCACCTTGAATTGCAGCTTGAATGGCTTGACGGTTGTGTCATTGGAGACCAAGAGGACCACCGTCGAGTAGCCAAAGAAACCCAAAGCTGGGACCACCACCAACGTCGAATTCTGGGAGCAATTTACATTCGGCTGACGGAACTGTTGAAACGAGCTGTTGACAGCCACGTGATCCAACTCAATGGCCTCGATTTGAGACGCATTCCACGACATGGAACACTTGGAGCTGTTGAATGCACCGACATTTAGGTAGTCGGTAAAAAGAGCGGACAGATTCAGCTGTGACGATGAATGTGGCCCCACCGAGAATTGCATAGCTGTCGTCGCCAAGACAATGGGAACACTCGTAGGCAGGTAGTTGAAACTCCAGGAAAACGACGTCGTGTGCGATGGAATGTCCACAGAGGCAGTAGTTGCCGTGCAATTGATGCTTGTGACAGTTCTAGCAACCCGATTTGAAGTCATGTTCCACGAAACGACGGATGCTTCCGACATGGAAGCAATGTGGAACACCCCATAGTTGTTGCGTGTAATCCAAGTGTCATGCCTCGTGACAGTGATATCCTCAGAACAGTTGACAGACACGTCCGTCAACCCCGTGACGTTGGAGACGTTCAACACAAATGACGTCCACGCTCCAAACGCCAGCGTTTTCTCGAACGGCAGCAACTGAGATGTCGGCCACGGTATTTCCAGGTCTTCAACCGTCAAGAAACCAGTGTACACCCACTGGGAATTCCAGTTCTTGCGACGAGTACTGAGTCGGATGCCGTATTGAACTCTGCCAACAAATCCAAACGGCATTCGCACTTGCAGGGCTAAAACGTCCAAGTTCCTTGCAGTGTCACCGTCCGCGGATCGACTCGGTATCATCCATCGTCCATTGCTTAAGTACCCAGTGAGGTACGACACTGAATAATTTGAGAGCATTTCGACAGCATAGATGCTGACTGACCGGGCAACCGTTTTGCCAACAATCCAAAATTCCACCAGCACTTCATCTGCAAAGTGAAGAGTAACATTCGACAGCTCAATTGCGGCTGATGTGTTGAAAGGTACAGAGCTCTCATAGGAGACATTTCCCACAAGTGGAGACCTCACCACAGGTGGAACGTTAGCTGGAACAAACGCTTTCACCTTGTTCCCCCACATCATATCTCCACCATAAACCCACTTGCATGACGAATTCGCTCGTTCCGTGGTCAGTCGAATGCCGTACGACACCGACCCCACGAACGAATGGGTCATGCCGATGGAAATCAGCACCGTGCTCAGGCGACGGGATGCATTCTGGTGCGCCGGCCACACGAGGGCTGGCAGCGTGTACGACCCATTCGCCAGCGCCGCACTAGTGTGGTACAAGACGGGGTAGTTGGTCACAGACTCCACCATGTACACCGACACCGTCTTGGCCACGGCCGGACTCTGGACTCGCACGTCCAGCGTAAACGTGTCTGAGATTCCGAGAGCAATGTCGGACAGCTCGATGGAGCCGCTCGTGTTGAACGCCACGACAGGCGTGGGTCGGACAGACCCAACGACCAACCGACTCGACTTGGAGGCCGGGTGCAGCACCGGCAAC